CTGCTGCTCCAAGATGACAAGCCAGCATCACTAGGGATGCTACAAACATATTTCTCTCTCTCAAACTATGCCATCTGATATTAAAGCCACAGAGCATAAAATATGAGCAGGAGCTCGGCAAGTGCCAATGTATGGGATATCGCCGAGCGATCGCACACCTGTGCAATGCACTTATTTGTATTACATATGGTGGGATGACTCCAACACTGGAGCTCAGATGCACCCGGATTCTGAGCTACACCCTTAAAAGACACCACACATGCTCTGCTGATGGCTCATACCTTCCTGATCCTGGTGCAGTCAGACTCCTCTGCATAACCTTCAAAATTCTGAGAGCCCGGAGCATTTGTCTAAATTACTGTGGTTGCACCAAGCTTCTCAGAATCTCACCTCTAACTCCACTGAGTTGTGAAGGATGCCCTCACAGGTCAGCTTTGTGATTATCTCCTGTGCTGTTTGTGCCAAAAATATCTTCCGTAGTCAAGTGCAGACTTGCAGAGCCCTTCGTATTACACTGGTTTTTAAAACTACTGTTAAAGTAAGATAGAACAAGATAACACCCTCCACACACATCTCTGGATCTTGATACTTCAAGCTTTATCGGTCACAGCAGAAATCATGCATGAATCCCAGTCCACAGGGGCTACAGAAATCAAACGGTTCATCTACACAACTGCACTCCTTATGGAACCGGCTCATACACGGGCAATGCAATGAATAACGCAGTGGAAGAACTCAGAAGCTATGCAGAGTATCCTTAAGGTGCTTGATAATTTAAACGTGTTTACAGATACTCTTCTAAATGCAGATCCCTAAGCACAAACACACTACCTTCTGAAAAAGCTTGTGAAGAACTGCTGTCTCTCGTATCTGCATTGCAATCTCCACTCTCCTCTTCCATGAAATTGGTTTCCAAGCTAAATTCAGATTCGTGTTTCACATCAGTAAACTCCTCAATTACTCCATGACGTGGGTCACAAGAGGTATCTGCGCCATCGTCCTGCTCCTGGCCGAGTGTCTGCTCTGCTGTGTCTGTAGCTGTCAATTGTTAGAGGGAGAAATGGGTTATTCTGTTATTCTCTCCTGGAAAAGTTACTGTCTGTAGATGTTGTTCACTCTGAGTTACTGACCTTTTTCTCCCAATACTCTATCAAAAAAGATAAAAGCGGGCTTTGTATTCTACAATAAAGATGACTTTTGGCTAGCGTGCCAAATGTTACATAATACAAAAACGTGTTTCCCCAGAGAAAATTAAAAAAGTAACCTATTTGGGGAAAAAAACTTTTAGTTTCCAAAGACCTCAGGTAACTGGAAATAATTAAAACTTGACTCCTCTCTCCCCGAATTTTTTTGCAGACTTCATAAACGAAGATACCTTGTCATAAAGGCAGAGGTTTCCTCCCAGTTTACATACTCTTTCCTCTGCTATGAGGCAAACCTTTCCCTTCTCTCGGTGGCAGCAGCCAAGCCAGATGCTACTCAAGAGAACAGCTTGTGTCTGCCATGAGTGGGTGAGAACCCCTGGTATGCTGCTCCATGTGGTTTTCCCCTGTGCTGCCGCACAAACAACATCTGAGGAAGCAGCAGCAGGCTGTCTGACAGGAAATGAGCACAGCTACCCTTTCCCCTGCTAAATCCTTCAGCAGTTGCTGCTCCCACCCACACAGAGGCAATGCAGCAACAGAGTCTCCAAGGCAGAAGAGCACCCAGCCAACAAGCCAGTTCTACACCAGGATCCTGGCTAAAACCATACGTTACTCAAACACCATTTACCAAAGCATGGGAAAAGACAAACTACCTTCTTGCTCCTCTGGTACATCATTCTTATCTTCTTCACCTTCTTCTGCTTCTCCCATCTCCTGGGACCCTTCGCTGTCCATTTCTGCCTCACTTTGCCCAGATTCTTCTGATTCACTTTCATCTTCCTCTTCCTCACTCTCAGACTCAGGAGAAGTCTTCAGGGTAGCCAGGAGCTTATGATATACAGAGACCTGTTCCACTTCAGTCTCTGAATCACTTTCTGCACTCGATTTATCAGAATTCTCAGACTGGAAAGGAAAACACGAGTGTAACAGCAACAACAGTAACAGCCTATTAGGCAGCAGGAGATTACCCTTACCCCTACGTCCATTGTTATATTTCCCCTCTCCCATACAACTCTTATGCAGGTGCAAAGGAATTTTTCAAAAGACACCATTTTATGCCAACAGTTACGCTGGACACTTCCATTTAGATTTTGAAAGCATCTTAGGAGACAGTCTGAAGTGCCTTATTCTGCATTGATTTGACTTGGAGCATCAACAAAATGCAGTTCTTTCAGTATCAACAAAGTGAGGGCATTTGATCTCCACAGACAAGGTATTTACTGAACTAGAACTACATTCTTCTAAGAAAACCATTTAGAGATTGAAAATTGTAGAAAGGCACCCCTACAAGAGACAGAGCACACTGGAAATGCTTCTGTCCTTCAAGAAGATAAGTGAAATAGCTGTCAGTTGACAGTGGTTCCCCAGGGCGCTGGTCAGGTTTGACTCAGTTGTACAGCCCTACACTTCAAACAAGCCAGACTCAGAGCCAGTTCTGTCCTGGGCTTGCACAAGCCAGTGTCCAGATTATAGCCAAAATTATAGTGAAACAGGAATATAGGCACAACACCATTTACTCCTTTCTTAATTCTTTTCAGCTCCCAAAGGAAAAAATCAGTACATACTTTATCAATGCACAAAATTGCTAAAGAAAAAAAAGAAACAGAGTAATTAATTTTTCCACACTAAGACTCTGAAGTGTTTTATTAATTCATGATAAAGGAGGTTACCAAATCCTGACTGAAAGAAAGGTAAAGCACTGGCAATCTGAAGAAGAGGAATGAGCATTAACAAATTTCTTTGTTCAACAGAGAACGAAACAGCTCCTAACTCATGCGACATTAAGTTTATTAATATACTTAAAACAACTTAAAGCATGATATAATTTTCACTGTAATTAAGTAATATGCAAAAAACCCAAGAACTGCTGTTACTTCCTGCTGCTTCTGCCCTCTCATGGTATTACAGTTTTGAGTTAGACATTGTAGAGAACAGTTCAGAGCCAAAATTCACACTCATTTTTTTCTCCTAAATGCTTGTTTTCTAAATGGAACAACTTAATCAGGCTGAATAACTTGGTAACACAAAATGCAAAGTTTTTCACTTCACTGAACTACACGAAAACGAAAGTAAGGAAAAAAAAATACATTACCAGTTCACATATTTGAGTTGCTTCTGGTCTTTCAGAAACCCTGAAAAGAAAGCACTGAAATATCTTACTCTGTCAATGAAGTTATATACAGGATGAAAGAGATGAGGGGAGGAGTGAATGGATGAGTTATACAAGTTTAAAGAAGTTAAAAGAAAATTTAAAACCAAAGCATCACACATTTTTCCCAAAGAAAACACTGCCACTTACCCTGAAGGGTCACCCTCTCACGTGATGCTACACCCTGTACATGAAGCCTAAGTGCTCAAGCATTACAACAAGTCAGTAAAAGTTCTGAAGAAAAATCCAGCTTTAATCAAAAGATGAGGTGTTAAAAGGAATTTAAAAGAAGCTACCTACAAGGATAGTTTTTACAAAGTTAACCAGAGCAAGGGTCTACCTCTAGCATTAAATATTGATCTACGAAGTGGGAAAAAGACAAACTACGGGAAAAATTAGCATTAATTAACCAGTGTTGGGTCTGCAATTCTGCAAACAAGACGCTGTACACAAGATGGGCTTAAACTAACCTCAACTACTTCAAAAAGATGCAGAGCCTCGAGTGGGACTGAGTGTCACCGTACGCAGGACACTCTTCCCAGTAGGACAGGGCCAGGAGGGTCCCAGGGGACACACAAAGAACACATCTTAACACTATGTGCCTTCTCCTAAAGGCACATCTTAAGCTGGTGACACAGCAGTGTTTTTCTCGCGGGCTTCCAAGGCTTTACAGCAGCACCAGGTCACACAGCACCTGGACCAAGCAGCTCTTTCTTCACAAGTTGACACGGGGGCACTAAGGGACGGTGCCCTCTCTGACAGACGGGCATCCTGCCCTGGAGGGCATGGCTGTTGTCACACAGATCTTCGGTCCTGCATTTTCACAGCCTGTGTGGTATCAGAAATGGGCACGGAACAGTGGGAAACCTGGAGCCCAGACAAGCCAAGGGACTGGCCTGGTGTCAAACGGGAACCCAACTTCGCACTCCTCCGCTTCCCCACTGCTCTTGGCAGCTTCCGGACTGCACCACAAGAGTGTAACACATCTGTGGCAAGAAAATCCGAGCCCAGATGTCCTGCCTTCCGTTCTCCTCTCGAGATTCCAGGCTCACGAGCGGCAGCGCGCCACGCAGCCGCAACTCCCCTCCATCCCTCGCTCCCACCGTTTCGCCCGCCCCGGCACTCACTTGTCGTAGAACGGGTGCTCCTCCCCGAACTCCCGCAGGTGCTTCTTCTGTTTCTTGCTCAGGGTGCGCAGCAGCTCCCGCCCGCCGCGCCGCTTCCCCATCCCGGCCCGGCTCTCTCCACGTGGGATGCCCCACGCCGTACGGCGGACCCGGCGCGCCGCTGTCGCACGTAGGGGCGGTCCCGCAGCCCCGCACCGCCCCGGTGCTGCCGGGGGCGGGTGTTTCATGCCCGGGGAAGGCGGGGCCGGGGGGCGGCTGGAAGGAGCGGCGGAGACCGGGGGTGAGCCCCACGGGCCGCGCCTCGCCCGGCCCGCCGCCAGCCTGCGGCCATATGGGGAGTGGGGCGGGCGGTTGTGCCTGCGGGCCCCGCTGGGGAATGCAAAATGCCGGCAGGGAACATTCGTCCCTGATTGTGCCCCAAATCCAGAGCCAGTCCCGAAGATGCGCCCCGTGCCCCCGAGCTTGGTAGGGGCCGTGACGCGTTTCCGCTGCCGTGGCGGGGCTGAGGCCGCCGAGCGGCGTGTGCGGAGCGCATCCCGCAGCGCAGCCCCTCCAGCCCCGCTCCGCCGGGCCCGGGGCTGCTCCCCCCGGCCACGCTCCCGCCAGCCGAAGGGGCGGAGATGGGTGTCCCGCACCGAGGGACGGGTGCTGACGAAGCCCAGGCTGTAATGAGGGTGGGCGGAGGGATGTTGAAGACCTTCTGCGTTTTTCTTCGCACCGCAAGCTTTTGCGTATAGTTACCATAATATATTTTTTATTATATATATGTTACTATATAATAAAGTGTATTTTTCCCGTGTACATAGGGGATATGACTGGACAAGCGTGGGCGTTTGTCCTGGAAGTGGCCACAGAAACGGTCCAGGTTGGTCAATCTAGTCCAACCTCCCGGTTTAAGCAGGGTCGTCCTGGAGTACATTGCACAGGATTGCATCCAGATCGTTCCTGAATATCTCCAGTGAGGGAGACCCCACAACGTCTCTGGGTGATGTGTTCCAGTGCTTGGTCACCTGCACAGTAAAGTTCTTCCTTATATTCCATTGGAACTTCTGTGCATCAGTTTCTGCCCGTTCCCTCTTGTCCTATTGCTTGGCATCACCAAGAAGAGCCTAGATCCATCCTCTTGGCACCCCTCCTTCAGATATTTATACAGATTAATGAGTCCATGAATCATGGAGAGGATGCTGTGACCTTTATTGCTGATGAAATTTTTTAATTCCCGCAGCATTCCAGGTGAATGCAATGTCTCTTCCAATCTCCAACTACAGAAGCAGTGATGATCTGAATGCAGTCTGACCCACCCCCTCCATACCTTGGGGAACACTGCAAATGGCCTATTCAGGTAGACACTACTTGAGATACCGCATCTTGCCCAACTGACTGCCGATCTGCAGTGCTTTGCCAGAAGCTACCAATGTTGTGGGAAAACCTCTACAATAAAGCTAGAGGAAGAGACCCAGCAGAAGTCCTTAAAGTTCAGACTGTTTTATTCTGAAAGGTAAAATCAAAAGCTCCAAGTGAAACCACACTAAATTCTGGATCTTCTAACATTTTACTGCTGAATCTTACTGAATGCTGCTTAGGGGTGAAGTAAAATACTTTTGCACGCATGGAGATAAACACTTCCTCAGAAACCACCTTATATTGTGTCAAATAAATTCAAACTCAGTTCTTGACTTTAAAGTTCTTTATATTCCGTACATCCCCGCGTTTCTATATGATCTAGCAGAAACTCCTCTGATCTTTATTAAGGAGAGGCTATAAATGGTGTTGTTATGTGCAAAGCACACAGAGTTTGTGAGTAAGAGAACTGAGAACAAGGGAATTCCAAATAGGATGGAGGCAGGGAGTATTTTAGGAGAAAATAGTTTAGCAGCTGGTGATTGTAGCCTCTTGACTATCTTGACTTTTTGTCTATCTTGACTTGAGGGCACCCATGGATTTGACTGAAGCAAGCAAGCATGTTAACTGCACTTCAGTTACACAGAAGCCTTGGGGAGTTGTTAATCCTGCTGTCTGCCCCTTCGATAAACCCCTCCGGTGTGGAGGAAATTGTCTTAATCCAATCCATTCTACTGACCTGCTTTACCCAGTTCCCCACTGCAAAGAGATGTCAGGGGCAGTGGGCTGTGCCCAGCAGCAGAAATTCCCTTAGCAGGCTCTGTCAAAGCCAACACGTTACGTAACAACACTGACTAAAATAAACAATTTCCAACTACCAGGCTTTTTATGGGGAGTTGGCAGCCATGCTCTCTAAGAGGAAAATTGTGCCAATCAGTCCTACCTCTGTCAGGAGGAAGTTTATTTGTACGTTTCAAAATTGGTTTTTTATCAGCTTCCACAATTTGGCATTGGGAGACAGCAGGAAGAGCAGGAATCTGTTCAGAGCAGAACTGTGAGAGCTCAGGAGCTCTTTGGGGACTGAACCTGGGTGCAGCTGCTAGGGCAGTGAGCAGTTGGAAACCTCCGCATTCCTGTGTGTTGAAACAAAAAGGAGAAATAACAGGACTTGGTGGCAGTAAGGTTATAGCTTGGACTTCAGCAGTTTTTGTACTCTTTCCAAAATATTGGCTCTGATGATATCTCACAATACTCTGTGGAGTTTTGGACTGCCTTTTCTCCCACGAATTAAAAAATGCATTAATCTTAGTCTTTTGTGATGCTCTGAATGCCAGCACTTGCTGCTGTGACCATTTAGTCACAACTGTTTTGACAATAACAGATGGTTTTTTTAGCAGTTTACAAGATTTGGGCCTGTAGCTTAATGTCTACTGTCAACCCCTTTTCTTTCATCCTGACTTCAGTTTAACCCCTGAAACCAATGAGACTCCAGGGATTGCTTCCTTATTTCTGCTCAACTCCTCCCTCCCACCTCCCCACACCTTGTGTTAGAAGGATCCTGCTTGGACAGCATTTGGTGTTTAGGATTAAACTACTTAAAAACATAGTGGTGCCATTCACAACTGTCTTAAGAGATGTGCTCCCCAGAAGATTAACACCTCAGCTTCCCTGTAGTGAGGCACTGGCAGTAAAGCTGCACTGACACTGGTATCCCATGGACTGGAGAGCATGTGACCACCCAGTGTTGCACAATAATCCTTTTCTTAAATTAGATCTCTCCACTTGAAAATTTTAAACTGAATTGCTAATTGAACTTGTATTTCTGAAGAACTGAAATCATGGAAGTTACACTGGAGCTCGTAGTTACTAACATGATAACGTATCACCAGCGTCTCTGATTCCAGCAATAATGTAGGAAAGAAAAGAAAGGTAAAAAGCTTGCATTATTTGTAATCTGTTCTGCTGACCCAATTCTGTCACCAGCCACAGTTAAACCCTGTCAGCAGAAGTCTCTTGCTGCTACCTGTGTATCTCCAGCACTTTTATCTGCATGACACGTTCCAGAGACAGATGGGTTATAAAAGCTGCTTCCTTTATTTTAAAGAATTCTGCTAATCTGAACATAATGGATTCCTCCTTGCTAGCTTATTGCCTTCATTCTTTTGTTTCATTTCATGTGCAGCAGCTCACTTACATGCTTTTCTTCCTCCCTGCTTTTCTACTTTTGCCCATTCCCTTGTGAGATGACATTTTTTCACTTTGGTGTATGTTTTTATTGGAATAAGGTATGTTGATCATATACTCTCTTCCTATCCAGATGCAAAATGGAGAGCTAAATTCAAATAATTTGCCCTAAGTTACTTAGGCAGTGTAAGTTACACCAGGGTCTTCAGCATATAGCTTATAAACTTGAATGCTGATTTATTTACTAAATGCACTTCTGTGGCGTATAATTAAAAGGAAGATGTGTGACTTGAGATACTTTCTGGTTACAGTGGGAAAGGTAAGTGATGATGTCAGGTCTTCCCTCATCTCAGACTATCCTTGCTTAATCTTGTCACCTCTTTCCATCCATCACTCCTTTCCTGGTAACAGCCGGCACCTCTGCAAAGGCAAGTACCTTGATGTGTCCTTGATGTACTGTTTGCATAAATGTAGACAGTAATAAGCAAGTAAATACAACTGAAAATAAAAAAGCGGAGTCATGACAAAATATAGTGTTCAGCAGCTGCTGACTTAAAATATAAAATGGAATTACTATGACACAAACCCCCACAAATTTTCTGCTTACTTACAGACTACTGAAGTAGCACAAGAGTGTGAGCACCGCTGGAATGGGCCATTTCCGCAGACCAGTTCAGCTGCAGGACTTTCAGGAAGTGGCATGACTTTTTGGTGAAAGAATTCTTTGAAGAAGAGTTCTTTGAAGCATGGCCATACTTAAGGCGACAGATTTTTGTAACTTTTTACCCTCCTTTCTGTAGTATTAAATATTTTTTATTTAGGTACTTGTTTATTCTTAAGCAGTAAGAATTTAGCTAAGACAGAACTGCTGGGGGCTTCTGTATTAAGCATCTGTTCTCAAATAGCCATATTTAGCCTAATGCTCTTATTTTGCTGATAGAAACTAAGTTTAGAAACTGCTTTGCCACTGTTTTTTTTGCCAGTGTGAGCTGTATTTTGAGTGATATTGAAAATCAAGCTGCACTCTTGACAAATGGCTGATACATTTACTGACGCTGTCATTCCTTACACTGTGGTTACTATAATGTATTGTCCATGTAAAAAACACTACATTTAATTTAGTGTTCTTTAAAGAACTATGAAGCTTACACACTGAAGAAATATGGAATATGGAGAATATATTATATATATTTTATATATATATTATACATAATCATAAAATTTTAGTCTCTTGATGGTGAGGGGAGCCCAGCATTTTAGAAAGAATCATAAAAGCTGCCTTGAATCCATGTGTTGTCTATAGCAACATCAGCTTAAAAAAAAACCCAAACCCACAATCATTTCTGAGGAAGCATGCATAATGCAGTAAAGAGTTTAACTGCCAGCTTGTATGCCAGAAGTGGAAAACTGAACATAAAAGAAGGGGATGGAGACATAGCCCTCAACCTTCTGTGGGCACCCAGAAAATTGAATTGCACTCTTTTCATTGTTTCAGACTAGTTCTGTAGTACATCCACACATAGTTTGCAGAAAACAGGTTTTCCAAACTCTTAATACCCTGCCCTGGGACAGGTTAAGTAAAGGTATAGATTTTAATGAGGTGTTAGAGAAAGTGGAAAGAAATCTGTAGTAAGACTTTCTCTGCTTCTGGGTGGGTGCCAACATTAAGGGAAGAACTGGATCTTTTAAAACTGATCCTATTTAAAACATTAGAATTTCTTTTTCTCCTAGTAGTTACTGAACTAATCTATGTTATAATTTTTAAGATTCCCTCTTGGATAATGCAGAATTATTGTTTTGGTCTCTGAAAGTTTCATCACTACATTTGATTTCTGATGGCAGACTAAGCCTTCTGCTATTCCTTAGCAGTGTGGCCACTGCAGGCTCAAGTAGTTCTAATCAGGTGTTGGTATCTGGAGTTGCTGTAAATGTTTGAAATATTGTTCATGTTACTCACTTATGATGCCACTGCGTCTCCATAATGTAGGTATTGTCACTTTCTCTGAGCAGAAGGTGAAACTTCTGTACTCTAACGGCTTAGGGAAAAAGCCCTATGAATATTTTCAGCAGCTAACATTAAAAAAACCCTCTTATTTTTGACTAGAAACATTCTAATATTGAGGCAAAAAGGAGTTAATATTTATATAGCAGGAGGGAATGAAAGATGAGTGATAATAATGTGCTGATGTATGAAAGACCTCGCTTCAGAGATATGATACACTGATTAAGAGCTCTTTGATAATATCAACTAGCATTTTATTTAAGTAGAAAGAAGAAAATTTGCACTTTTTATCACTGATGTTTCTTGTAATTCAATAAACAGCATTTCAAAAGAAAGGTGTGTTTTGAGACAACTAGAAATTTCAAACAATGACACAGGTACGCAAAACCCCATATCCCATAATGCTGTCCTATTACCACACGTAAGTGTTGCAGAAGAGAATCATTATGTGAGCTGTGTGCACCTACCTAAACAAATAAATTGTCTGTATTAAAGGCTGGGGTTTTTCATATTCACTCTAAATTAAATACCTCTCAGATTTCTGTATCCTACAGGAACTGGGTCATGTAGGGGGGTTTGCTGATATGCTGTCACACACAAAGATCCCCTGAGGACCTCAGTGACTTATCATGTTTGGCTTACGAATGACTGTCAGAAATGTAAATTGCATTTTTCACCACACAAATGGACGAAGATGAATACTGAGGTTTTGTGGAAAAAAGCTCCTGAACTTTAGAAGACCACAACAGTCAGAAGGAAATAGGATGACATGCCTGAATAGGAGCAAGAAGTCACCCCAACTTTTATGATAGAAAAGACATTTTTAAAAGCCAGTTGTGCTATTTTTGTGGCTGCAGAAACGTGGATACTAGAGGAAGGGTGGCATTTTCTAATGGTGCTTGCTTGGAAAAGCCACGAACAACATGTGAGGTTCTATTCCCAAATTTCTACTTTGAAGGGACAAATAATAGACTGCACCTGTTTTGGTGCAGTTTGAGCTAAGAGAATAGCAGGCTTGAAGGAGTTCCAACTACAGCTTTATATTACACAAACAGTAAAACCTTCTCATGTCACAACTTCCTCGGTAAATGACTTTCCCTTGGATTTGCTGTATTTCCAGTGCCTCCTGGAATAACAGATACATAGTAATTAATTTCCTGGCATATGAAATGCAGAACTGGCAGGAAAGATTTTTAAAGCAAGAAGCTTGCTGTATAGACAGTTGTGGTAGTGGTATGATTAAGACTAACTGTAGAAACCAAAATTGAAGTAACATTCCAGACATGACTGATGACTACTGGCACATATAAGGAGGAGAAATACATGCTCTAGGGCACTTCGATGAAATGTCAAGAATAAATTGAGGCTGTTTCTTTAAGCATCACACTAAATGATACAGAAGCTACTATTCATAAATTGCTTTTGTGCTGAAAAATACATATGGCAAATGAACCCTGGGTATCTTGGACATGCAGGGTAATTTAGACTGTTTTTAAAATATCTTAATCCATAAGTAATAGGATTCTGCCACGACTGCCTTTGAGCAGAGCTTTCCCTAAAAATTTTTCAATGGTTAAATGGCTCAAAGGAAAGTAACACAAGTGAATGTTCTGATTTACATAATATACTGGTCTGTATATTTCTGACACCTAAAGTAGGCTGGCAGCTGTTAGTCACTAAGTATTTGTGGAAGGAAATCCACCTCCAGTTTACTGGCAGTGACCAAAGATTTTAAAGACTGAATGGACTCGAAAACTTATCTATCTTCAGTGCCAATATTTAGCACAGCTCCTGTTCAGATCGAGACAGTCTAACCACGGATAGAATGAAGAAGTTTCACTGTTATATCTAACAACCACTTTCACGATACTTTTCTAAGTATTTGCTACTGATCTGTGTGTTTCTGTAACAGCTTTACATGGCATCTATTTTCTGTTACCCTTGGGAAAGCATTTTCTCAAGCTGTGGATAATGTTAGACATCTACCCATACAAGCTTGAGGATGGTTATAAAGCTAACAGTGAGGAACTGTACTCAGAAATGCACCATTTTCCTCTTGTGAATGGTTGTCTGACTTAGCCTTTAAATTAGGGAAAATTGAATGAAATATTTGCTTATTGGTCTGTCTGTGTTGAGTATTTTCAGTTCTTTTCTACTGAAGATGTTCCAAAGTGCTCAGTGAGAGTATACCAGCAGGGTGAACACAGCTGTGTGCAAAGGGGTAGAAGGAACTCGACTGGATTTCAGACCAGAGGTCTCTGTCCTTGAATGCCACACACAGATTACAGGGGGAGAGAAAGCAAAGGTAATTAGGCTGAAGGTTTATTACTGCATAAGTTCATATACAGTAATATACATATCCACCTAGAAAGACAGGGCATTAGCTTAAGCAAACATCTAAAAATCATCTCTGAATAACTGACTTGGGTTGAACTCGTTTGCTAGATGAGGCTAATGCAGTATCAGCCAGGGGTGAGGGCAGCAGTATTAAGAGTCTGTGTCCTGATTATAGGGTGAGACTGAAGGCTACCAGATACTGGAAGTCAAATTTTGCTCCTGCATGCTGCCAAGTCTTTTCATCCATCTTTCCTTCATAAAAAAAGCAGTGATACCAAATTGATATTGAACTGATCCTAAGGATTTAGTTCAGTTCAATCTCTGAAAAAACATTCCCTCTCTCCTTAAGACAGAAGCGTTGGTTTACAGAGATACTGACAGTGCTTTGACTCTTTCATATTCAAGCTGGAGTTCTAGGAAGGTAGGAATGCTTTGCTGTGATGCACAGAACATCCTATGTGGCAGATGTTGCCTCTGTTTCAGGGCATGAAATTGGCAATTCTGGCAGTTTTGCTGTATGGATCTAAAAGTGGGCCCCTCAGACAGGAATCATTTAAGCTTTGGATGTCTGACTCATAAGAACATAATACAGCATGCTCAGATACTGATGTTTATAAATGGTATGAAACATGTTGTTTTTATGGACTTCTTCTAAAATGCAACTAAAAATTTTCTATTGAAAAAGAGAGGAGATGGTCAGTAGGTAGGAAGATGACTCGAGACAAGACCTAAAGCAATGGTTGGAGTGTTGCTGTTGGCACTTGCTAAGAAAGGTGGCAGGAGGTGAAACTGGAGAAACATGGTAAAAGAAGTAAAGAATGGAAATAGTTTATCCAATGAATGAGTTATCCAATTGGTAACTGGACAACAATCTGGCATACGTAATATTAAACATCACACAAATGTGAAGTAGATTTGCAAGTATTTCAGAATTAAGAAGCCATCTAGCATCGAAAGGATATGATGAATTTATATACATTTATATATACACACTTTTTACAAACTTATTATAAATAACCATAGTTACTGATCACAGAGTACAGTCAAACTTCTTCACTTTAGAGCTGCTCAGTCTAACATGCACTAGAGTTATAAGCAAGAATAACTTGATGAAACAAGAGTTTATAAAATTTCTTTGTAAGAGAACTTTTATTTAACAGTAAATTAGGCCGATAGGAGCAATGAACTCCAGTACTAACAGAGTCAAGTACCTGGTGTGTTCATGACTTGACTTCAGCTTCTTCCACTTGAGGTAGTGTATCCCAAACTGGTTTCTTAATGTGTTCAGGTATTCTCTCTATCTTAGTCTAAAAGGAAAACAAAACAACCATTTATTACACTAACTAGCTAACATCTAACTACTTTGCTTTATTTACCCTTGTTTGAAATATAACACAGATTAAAAATGCCACCTAGTGGCACTTCCAAGCAATACAGCCTTTTTAATGTGTAATACTTAGGAAAAAACGTTCCTTCCAAATTACACCCATTTCCTCGGTTGACCTTCTAAAGACTTCAGTAGTTATTGGTACTTGCATCAGGACTTAAGTCTCATAAATTATTAAAGTATTAATGTGGCATGAAAACTTACCTTTTTTACTTCCATGGCAACCCCTTCAGGTAAGTTTCGTTGCACATACTCCAAGTAAACTGCAGCAGTACTGCCTGTTAGGTATTTCAACTATAACAGAAGTAATGTTTTGTAATTAACTACTATTACTAATACTTCAAACAGAAAAAAAAAAACAAACCCAAAAGTTTGCCCAAGCTTCTTTTTAGCTCCTGCTAAGGGGCCAACTGCCATCTTGTAAGAAAGGCAGTTTCCATGATATCGAACAGAGTTGGTTGTTGATCTGTACTCAACTCTCACGCAAGCATAAAGTAGTTACTTCCCTCCACAGAACTGCTTGGGATCACAGGCACTGATTATGATGTAAGTGGTGGATCTTAACTCTGCAGGTATCAGGTGAAATTAATTACAGGTTATGCAAGAATAACTAGATTTTGTATACCCTAGAAGTTCAAGTCTATTATAAATCCTGCAGCTCCAGAGTTCCAATGATTTTTTAGTTTCTCCTGGTTCCACTGAATTACTGATGTTATAGTTTTTCCTGGAGGCAAAAATTGTGCTTATGGTCTGTGGGCAGCCACTTGTACTGCACTAATGTCTGGGGACTTCAAGTCTCATTTTGCTAAGGACTGTACAAATGTACAGTAAGACACCCAGGAGCCACAAAATGCTGGCAGTAAACCTTTCTTAGAAGAAAGTCAACCACAGTTGCATTCTAAACCATACAGATGTCTGTGTCATTGGCCACAGCACTTGTGGTTTGTCTACGCATCCTTTCTTGTATTTCCTCCATGCAGTTTTAGTTTGCCATGCGATGCTGCATAGGACAAAAGCATGTCTGTTCAAAAACATCACACAAACTCACAGAGAACAGAACCCTTAGTGACTGGCAACAACAGTGATTCAGATGCATCTTCTTCCCTTCCTGAGAAAGCTCCCATCCCACTGACTTTTCATAACACAAACGAAGACAACCCTCAATTCTACCTTATCCTTTTAGTCATCCTTTCAGCTGTTAAGATGACAGTCAAAACCAGCCTTTTAGTCCAAAAATTACATAGGCTGTGCATTCAGAACAACTTGTGCTACATTTGATGTACCTAGGTCAGCTGCTGTCCGATGCTCCCCTACACTCTCCTCGCCAACCCAAGTAAACAGGCAATTTGTTTTCACTCTTTAACTAACATCTAGTAACACCTTTGAATTGTGCACCCAGAACACTTTCTTTTCCATCTTTCTTACCTCCAAACACAGGTAATGTGTTCTCATTTCATACTGAACTCTGTGCTTCTTGTAAATATGTACAGATTTGAGAAGTGTAAATCGTTCTATTGTCTTTGGAGGTTTATCTCTGAACAAAGAAAAAGACAATTTCATGTTATATAAAGGATGATAATACAAGTTTATCTCAAAGATTACACTGGAATCCCTGTTCTTATTTGACATTTAGAAGATCTTCAGGGAAATATGAAACACTGGTACAGTGCAGTTTGTTATTATAACTCACGTGGGCATGATTAACATTCAGGTATTAGCCAGCATTAGCTCAGGGAAGCTACAGCTGTACTCAGAGTACTGTCAACATCCTTCATGTAGTCCACTACAGCAGTGCTGAGCGCAGAACTGCTGCTGCTTTCTTACCACTGTAGTGCCACCTAAGAAGTGTCAGATTTATAATCTGAGAAAAACCTGTCAGATTACATCTATTTCTTAAAAAAAGAGAAAATAACACTTCTAAGCACAGAACCTAAATTACAGTAGATGACATAAGAAGCATCTGACACCATATCACTCAACAGATCAGTTACTTACACTTTTTCAACTGAGATGCCAAGTTCTTTAGCTGCAAGCACTGCAAAATATTCATAGCTGTCCAACACAGCTTTATCGTGACCCTTAACTAAAAGGGACAATCTCTTGTACAGTGTTTCTGGCTCATCTGAAATAGATACCTGCATTTTTAAAAAAAGGACAAGAGTTACCACTGCATGTTCTCCTTAATTAATGCTCACACTGCCTGTGTGTCCCATTTGTAAAAGAGGAAAACCACCCCACAATCTGTTCAGCTGCTTATTTACCTAAGGGAGGCTGACTGTATTACCTGGATTGACAGGTCTCACTCTTATATGGGAAAGGAAAGTCTGAAGAGATAGCTAACTTCTGAACATTTAGGTAAAATTTCTTCATCCACAAAAGAATGCCAGATAAATATGAGGACAACATTAGCAAAGCCAAGAATGAAATTCATTGTCAAAGCAGGTCTGGAGCAGCAGTATTTGTATTTTAAATAGCAGTGAGAGAATACCCCAAATACTCAAAAGTTTGCTTGGGTATGGAAAGTAACCAGAATATTATGGTCAACAACCAGAATTCTCACTTTACTAAGTTAGTTACAGGACTAATTTAAACATAGCAGGCTTCCCAAGGAGTATTATCCCTTCTGTTTGAACAAATACAAGTTTATGATTTTCAGTCAGAGCTTCAATTTCTGATGGCCTGGGCTCGCTGATCATCTGAAGAGCCTTGATGTGTCTAGAAGTACTGATTTTCCTAAGCAGTTTAGCACAGTAAATCCTGCATGTGCCAGACACGGCAGGAAGGCTGGGTCAGCACTGTAGATCTAATGCTGTCTGTTTCTGAAGGCCTGGACAAAAGGCTGCTAAGCTGCCACAGGTGTTGAACTGAATGTGACCAAAAAGCTGGTATTTCATAGAGTTACGGCTGCAGACAGAAAGCAGGAAGCGACTAAGAGGCAACTGTGAGCTAAAGAATCTTGCCCCAAACCCCCAAAAGAACTCAAATGCCAGTAACCCAAATTATTTCCTTATGACATATTTAACATAACTATGACAGAACTTAAAAAAGCTGCAAGAAAGGAATTCAAGTTTTTCTGCATGTCCTCTTTATAACTAAGACAATATACAAAATACCGTGCTACAAAACACTTACCAAAGGATTGATCTTAGGCTCCTGCGTAGCAACATGGGATCCAGCCAGCCGTGCTCCCATCAAGTTGGAGCTTCTAGAAATACCGTTGGAAAAGCATAAAATAAGTTGTTAAAGATGGAGTTGGGTTTTTTTAGGGACTATGGAGGAGCAGTGAAAGGAGGAGGTCCTTTATACTTACGGAAGAAAATACTGCTTTTGCATAATTCTGCTTGCATAACTGACAGGAAAAGTTGATCCCTGTATAAAACAGATAAGTTATGTTGTGGGTTTTTCCCCCCATACCAGAAAGTAGCCAGTTAATACAGGTTTATTAAGAATTACTTTTTTTGTACACCAAAGAGCAGCACATTCTTAGGCACTGATCTGCCAAAGTATGAAGTCTGCTCAGCTGGAAAACATGGGAAAACAGGACTATGGAAATATATTTCAGTATACAATAGCACCACAAAAGGAACACATTAAAGGCACAATAACACTATGCACTTACTAATGAGGCACCTGAATAGCAATCACAAAGCATATTTTCAACACAATGTTTTCTTTTGTGGCACCAGATGTCATTTCTGTATATTTTTACTTTCATAGTAGAATATATATTAGTTTTGTCAAGTGTCAAGCCTAAGTAGGACTTGTAAAAGCAATTGAAAACAATATCCTAAAATGCAAAAATTCAGCTTCTGGATTTAACTGGAAATTTCCCATTATTTCAGAAAAAAGTTTCTTGTGATTTTGAACACTTGCTCTTTTGAAGAGAATATTTAAACAGAAATTCTTCTTACAAGTTAACGAGTCATATTTAAAAGATAAAATGATTTTTCAGTGTTAAAAAGGTAATACAGTTGTAATCAAGATGTAATACTACTATCTTTCATACTAGTATAACTGTTCCCTTCTGAACATTATGTGGCTTCTAACTTCCACTAATTCTTCATTTGACAAAGTTACAGACTGCTGAGGGGAGAAGGGGTCAGGAAGGAACTTTCACTTGCCTAAGAGAACCTCAGGGCTGCAGCAAAATGCTGAAGCCAAATTATCTTCTTATCCTGCCCCTTGATACTCTTTTTTAAGAGGTGCTGGAATCATAGCTTTAAGAGAGAACACAGATACCATACCTAAGGGTTATGCAGGCAACTGGCTAATCAAAATATCAGAAAACAGCCAGAATTTACACTTTTCTAGGTAATCTTACTGTGGTTGCTCATGGATATGCATAACTGACTACATGATGCCACTAGGTCCCTAACCTTTTCCAGCATCCATTACAGAATCATTTGACATTAGTAGGGAATAAAACTGTTTTATGAAGGAATTCTGCCTCAGTTGCTACTTATCCTACAAACGCTGCTTCCAATAAGGAAGATGACTGCAGGAAGAGGCAGGACAGTTTCCTTTTTACATGGCAGGGGGTTGGAACTAGATAATCTTTTAAGGTGCCTTCCAACCCAGGCTATTCTATGATAAAATTATGTTGATACTTGCACTTCCATTCTCTATCTCTGAAGTGAGAATAGTGCCTCTCTTCCATTCAACAGCAATATGAAATACAATAACCATCACCTGACATCACTTTAGAAAGCAGACAAGCCTATGAGCATAAAAGATTGTATTCGGTGCAGAGCTTAAACTGTGTGTGCAAGTACATGGCACAGAACCTGACCCCAGATGACAAATGTAAGGCTACGGACTGTAATCATAACTAAGTTTTTTAACTGTTTTGTATTTTGCGTGTGTGTATGCAGTCTCTGTTACGTGTTCTTTTACTGCTAAGTGTTTGACCTTGTAATATGGATTAATTATTTGCATACAAAAATATGTGCACTCAAAGCATATTGAGCTATGTGGTTTTGGATACAAAATTTTCCGTCTTCATGCAATAAAGATGAATCAAACAAAACACGATGAAGCAGTAGAGTCCTATCCCACAAGCTAAGCTCTCCAGCGTATCCAATATTCTATGATTGTGCATGTTACTCCCACCACATGCCATCTCCCTTTGTTACTAATTATGCAGGTATGCATCATGTCTAAAATTAAAGGTGCTCTGTGCAAATTTTGACAAAATGATACACTGGATACCTCAGGTAGTAAAGACGGTGTTCAGCAGGCAGGAAAGTGTACTTTTAACAGCTTCATTCTCTGATTTAAATACACTTGATGTGCTCTCGCTAATAGCCATCATAGAAGGTGGAAAAGACACTCCAAGTCTGCAGCGTAACAGAATCCAACTTCCTATGTGACCCAAAACCTGACACAAAACATAATTACACCTCTCCTAGCGCAAAACAGCCTTAATTTTGCTTGGCCGAGAGACTCCGAAGTACTCAGGGGGAGACAGATGCCTGCAAGGTAAGCAAGTCCAGAATACAGCGCATACACAGAAGTGAATTTAGGGTTTTAGAAAACTAACACTAAACACCAAACATCGAATTTTCTCAATGTGAAAGTAATCACTCTTTAAAAGTCAAAACCAGCAGGAAACATAGGCAGTGCAAAACGCCTCCCTACTTTTTAACGTTGTTAACTTCCAAGATTTGAAACTTTCAAGACCAGAAACTGGCTTGGCACATGACCTCCAAACCCAAGTGATCTATTCCTCACCATCCCTTACACCCAGAGTAACTGCCGGGAGAAAAACCCCAGAGCTGCAGGGAAGAGTTCTGAGGACCCATTAGGCGATGATGGCGTGCAGAGACACGGCCCCACGCCGTACAACCCCAACGCGCAGCCCTAAGGATAACATTTGCCACGACCCCTTTTCCCACTTCCCTTCGGGAATGAAGACGCCGAGGGAAAGGACAGGGAGGAGGCGAACGGGGCTCCCCCGTCCCCTCCCCCGCCACACGCCGCACCTGACAGAGCCGCCGCCACAGCCACCCCGCCGCCATCTTGGCTCCGCCCCGGCCCGCCCCACACCGCCCGGAAGGAGAAGCCCGGCCTCATGCGCCATCCCCCTTCCCGCAAGGGAAAGGCTCTGGCCGCAGGGCAGCGCTCGGGGCGGGGAGACGAGTTGGGAGCACGCTTCGCGCCCTGCGAGCTTCCAATTCGTCTCCCCGCCCCCGTCCCCGCCTCCCCCAGGCGCTGCCTCGGGGCACGACCGGCGGTGGAGCAGCTCCCCCTCAGCCGCTTCCCGTCAACGGTGGCCGCCGGTCCCCTCATAGACAATCCCCGTCCTGTTCTCCAGGAATCCTTTGAAAATCCGATTACATGGACCTTAGTTTTCAACCTTTTCCCCTCCCTCTTAAAAGTAGTTTAAAAAGATACACAAGCCCGTTAGTGCAAAACCCAGCTGACTATATTTTACCGAAGTATTTAAGTTACTAGAAATGGCACATAAACCCCTTTCTGTTAATAACACGGGTTCTGATCAGTACCAAATATTTAAAGGGGGCGGGGAATAAACAAGTACCAATTCACTCCACTAAACCCTCCTTAAATACACACAACCAGATAGGGATTAACCTGAACTTTACCTTTATGCAAGTCAAATGCCAAGAGTGGGAACCTGAAACCAGCATAGATCACAAGTTATATCAAATGTATATTTTTTTTATTTTGTTACTTCCTCTGCCACCTAAAATTACAGTTGGCTTTTTACACTAAAGCACCTAAAATATTTACACAACCATCTTCTAATAAAATAACAGTTAAATATTGAAAATAAGATTTTTCTCATAAAATAAGCTTTCTGTATGTACAGGTTTTATCAAAGAGGACTAGGTCCAATATTGAACAGTCTTCCATCATCAACCATCCGCAAGAAAACAAGTTTTCTGAAATAAAACTATGTCCAACTCGTACAAATAGGCAGAACAGTATGTTTAACATCAGCCAATGCAACACTTAATAATGATGAAGTCGATGTTTGAGGCCTAAACCACGTACTGCTTAGGAAATGTACATTTCTTTTTTTTTCCTTTATGAATAACTTCTTTGGTTATCACTGTTCTGTTATCTTTTTGGCTGTACAGCATCTGATTAATGTTACAGAACCAGGCATATATATGTGTGTGTATATATATATATATTTATAGATACTAAGTTTAGCACAAATCCTTTCCAAAATTTAGATACTTTAATAAAGAGCTGTTCTTCAGAACCAAGCCCGTAAGTTTCTATGGTATTTCACGCTGTTCTTCAAACAGAATTCTGACTGGCTTCAAATATCATTTTGCTTAAACATGCAGGTTTTTCCCCACCATTAACAAGGGAACCTGAAAACACATCAATTTTCCAGTGTAGCAGCCTTTCTCAGAAAGATCCTTAGAAGTTCAAAATGGTACAAGTTTGGGAGAGGGAGAAGAGATTCTGCTGGGCTGTTTCTAACACAGACTCTTAAGAGCCAAGACGTTACTGCTCACAAAACCCTCCGCTTCGCAAACCATGAAGACTCCACAATCTATGAGATTTCTTGTCAGTGGATGTAGCTGGTGGCACACAGCTGCGCACCCAGCGTGCTGAGCCTGGGCTGCATATGGTCCCTGTAAAAGTAACGTGTCACAGCACAGAACTGCTGGGGAGTGTCTGACTGGCAGTTCGAGAAAGAAAGAAAAGCTGCCTAATCTCCTGAAACTCAAAAAAACAAGAATGTCACCCCTTATGTGGTAGAGGGAGTGAAATTTCACCCACTGGTCAAAACCACCTCAAAGAACCTCTGGAACAACCCCCAAAGCACTAAAAAAAAACCATGTACAAAACCAGGAACTTCATTAACCAGAAACTGGGAAGTTATTTCCATTCTCCTAAAGGGTTCTTCTTTAGCATCAAAGCATTTGACCTTAAGTAGAAAGTTGAGGTCACTTGGCTTCACATATTTGGCTCTGACAGAGAAGGCACCTCTCTCTGTCAATAGGTCCCACTGTTCTTGAACTTGTGTGGTCCAGTACTCTTATAAAAGTGCCATAATTTGCCCTCATTTTGCATAGTTAAACAAGGAAGAGAGACAGTAGAAAGTAAGACCTACCATTACTCAGATTCTGCTAAAGGTATTAGGAATGTGGCAAAAAAACCCCAATAAAACAAAACCCAACCCCTAAAAAAACCCCAAACAACCCTAAAACATGGAAGATCTGAAATCAGTCTTATAAAATATTTTATAAAGTTAGCAATACTCCTCTACTGTGCAAAATTCACAAGAAAGTCAGTGCTGCTACCTGTGAAAGCTCTACAATCAGCATTCATACTCTGTAATTAAAGGTCCACTCCACCTAACTCCAATTCTTCCTTAATTCTTTTATTCTGCAAGGTATGATTCTTTTGATATCCTATTTATTCAGAGAACCAAATCTAAATTTATATAAACAGTGTCAGGCATCCAGCAGGTAGATCTGAACCTATGGGAGGAGAAATGGTAATTAAACAGCAACATCAACTCACCTTTGCAGTATGTTTTACTGCATAAACAATATCTGAATTTGTTGTAATGAGGACTGAAAGTGGCACAAGATTAACATTTTATACCTGGAAGTAATAACTAATATGTGCTGAAGACATATACTCAATCAGTCTCTGTTCCATGGGCAAGAACCCTGCATTGCTCAAGCACAGACTCCCCTAAAACCATCGACATGGCTATTCCACAGTGTGATTTATTGTCACAGCACAGTATTTCCAGTGCAATCTGATTACCAAGGCAGTGTTCCTGATTCAGTGTTCCCATCAGATGATGTGAACCACAGTACAATCATTTTTTCTTTCTTCAGTCCTTGAATTAGGTCATTTTAAAATCAGAAGATCAAAACCTTTCTAAAATGGAAGGTCTAAAATGTCCACTGTAAACAAGACAGAACTGAAAATGTACTGCAATTACAGATGATGCAGTCACTCCTGCAACTATTTCACAGTTAAATCAGATTTTTTCCCCCTCCGTCTCCCTTAAAATGACAGCACAAAGAATGTAATCATATCTTTAAGAGAGATGACATTTAGTCTCTAGAAGATGCTGGAAATGATCCAATATAGGCAAAAAAAAATGTTTCATCAAAAGTGTGTGAAGTTTATTCTTGCAATTGGGGTAAAATGAAACTTGGAAGAGTTAAAGATTCTACTGGGACCATCTGGAAGGAACTGACAGCAGAACCACAAACTTCTGTAATTAGTGGCCTTGGAATTTATCATCAAGAAGAGCTCAGATAAAAACACCTTATAAGAATATTTGTACCAATTATTTATTTCTTCCCCAAAACACAAATTAATAAAAAAAAAGGGAAAAAAGCAGATTTTTTTTTCTAGACCTGGATAAAAGAATTATCATTTTCAACAGGTAGTTTACAATCAGAGGGGAATAAACAAGCAGTCCAGGTTTCCTGATTGATCCATTCAGGGTGTGCTCAGTAGCTGTCTATCAAACAACTTTATTTACAACTCAGCATCATCCTGCAGTAGATCTGGATCTTCATCATCCAATAAAAGGTCGGCATCCATGACTTCGTTCTCTTCCATGACATCGCCCAGATCCGGAACAACATCGTCATCAATGTCACCAACATTTTCAACATGTTTAACCAAACCCATGTGATCCAGGGGGATCAAACTATGCCCAGCTGGCCCAGTAGTTCTTGCGATAGTGGCTGCCATTTCTGCTGCCACAGCAGCTTTCTGAGCCTTCTGCCTTTGCTGTTCTTCTTGTTGTCTGTGAGTCTTCATGTGAGCATTGCGGCTTTTGATTTTGAAAAATACCCTAAATTTTAAAGGGAAAAAAAAATCAGATAAAAATGCACTGCTTTTGATGAAGTGAGCCAAAAAAGACTCAACAACCTATCAGTACATTTGCTTCCTTGTCCTGAAATAGAAGTCAGTGAAGTCTGCAATGCCATGGTGTGAATTTCAGGGACAAACTACCAGATTTATACATCCTGATGGTATCAAAATGGCCTGCTCTAACTCTGCCAGAGGTAGTTTGTAGCTCCCACACTTACTTCAGTATCCATGCACAGCCTAATCCTCCCTGTATTGGTTTTACAGCAATCTTGCTGTAAAAGGATGGAAAAAGTGAAGGAATATCACATTGGGATGCACAATGCACAGTAACAGAAAAAGCTGCGCACTGTCACACCCAAGTCTGTGATGAAGCAGAAAGCTGGACTGTCAGATGTACAAATTCTAGCAGATAAATGGATTCAGGAAAACAGGAGTAAGTACTGCAGAGGTATCACATTCAAAATGTCATGCAATCCCATCTTTGAGAGTTTTGGTAAGTTCTCCCATCCGAGGGGAGAACTTCTTTTGAGACCATTAGAGTGAAATAAAGAGTTTGTTCACAGCACTATTGATCTGGAATCTAAACAGGCAAATGCGATGCAATACTGCAGACACTCATATTCACTTACTTGCCACACTCCTTGCAAGGAAAAATTGTTGTTGGGTCGGTCTCACCGCTTGTTGTGCTGTGGGCAGGTGAACTCTTGATGGAGCAGTATCCGCTCTGCGTACCAGATTTCTGCTTAGTGCCTGGGATGGTGCATTGTGTTTTCGTCACCTGATTCGTACCTCCATGAATGCGAGCATGGCCATTTAGCGCTTGTCGGGAACTGAACACCTGACGGGGGGTTGTTGGGTGGAGGGAAGAAAAAAACAAGAACAAAACAACAAAAATATAAAACCCAAGAAATCACAAGACAATACTGAAACAGGAACTGCAGAAAGTAAGGTGAACGCGTATCACAACAGAACAACTGTACACATCTAATATGCACGATCCCACTAAAGAAACTCAGTCATAAGAAAACAAAGCAGTGAGCTATCCTATTATTTCAGTTGTGTAACATAATCAGAGCTGTTACCATACAGTAATTCTAACTGACGCATCATCTCGGGATTCAATTTTCTGTACAGATCAAACTGCTTCTATTTGGTGAGGTGGGAATTAAGAAAGTCAAGAATTTAAAGCAGTCAAAATATTTGTAATATCTTTGTAATAGAGAGATATTCAGGAGATATCACTGCCCAGGAATAGTCTAAATCCATGTTCTCAAAAATCACAATTCACTAGTTTACACACACCCCCACTCCCCCCCTTAAATATACCAAACAGACTCACAGCGCCACAATTTGGCATTTTACAGATGAAGGAGGACGAAGAAAGTGGAAGACCCTGAAGAGCAGGCAGATCTATGGGTCCAACAAGAGGGATAGCTGGTGGGTCAGGAGACTTCTGCATTTCCGTTTCTTCCTTTCTGTCTTCTTCAATCTCCTCATCTTCCTCTAACACTTCCTCTTCTCCACTTGTCTGAAAAAGACAGTGCACTTAAGAAATACTAGAAATACCGTCAAAGACAGCAGTGGATAGTAGGACATACAGAGTTCTGAAGTGCAGGCTTTTTCATCAAGCTTGCTTCTCAGTTTCAGTATTTCTTCCCATCCTGAATGAACTTCTGGTCTTTCTGGAACTACCGCCACTTAATGGATAACCTATAGCACAGGAAACTTCTCTGCAGTGCTCAAAACACCCTCCATCTGTATTATGGAGCTGTGGCTCCAAAGATGCCAGATGTGCAGGTGCAGATACAGATGCCAGGGTGCAGTACCCTCCTGCCATTAGAAGGACAATGTACACTGTACTTGTAGCCAAGTTACTTAATAAACAAAAAAACTCACCTCAAACCCAACTCACAGACCAACACATCTCAAGTGGTATTTGTACTAGAACGTTAGAGCAACCTTTAGGAGCAGACATGGGCACAGGCAGAATTTAAAGAGGTTTAACTGCTGGACTACAGTTAGATAATGCACTTTTAACTCATTACAGTCCAGGAACACAGATCTTGGTGCAGCTGAAGTCACACCATGTCCATACAGAACATAATTTAGCATTATGAAATAATTTTGGTTGGAAGATACCTATGTCACCTAGTTCAACCTCCTCCTCAAAACAGGACAAACAAAAATTATCCAGCATTAAACTTTCTCATATTCTTTTAGACTTACCAGGCATTCGTCTCTTTTTTTCTCTAAACGTGTTCTGTGTTTCCGTCCCAAACGCAAGATTTTCTTCCAGGTATAGTAGTATTCCACACATTGTGCAACTGTCTTAGACTTAACCTGTAGTTGAGTAATTATAGAATTAGTCCAATCTCAATTTTTTCTTTCATTCAACACTATTTGAATATATTCCAAGAGTCAGGCTTTATTACTCAAATGTTCAAAATGGAGGGAAAAAAAAAGGCAGTTTAACTATAACAGGAATGCTCTCGTAGAACAGCGGGTTTTTTTCAGTGAAATTTGTGTTGACTTTTTCAGCTTCAGTAGATTTCTCTGGGATTCTCTAGACTCCAGCCAGAAAATGACTCAGAATATACTTTTATAGCTCAAGTGTACAATACAACTGAGAAATCTAGGAATTAAGATTTGATTTGCATAAACCCACATGTTTTTCAACATTGGAGCTAAGAAGGAGGGTACTGTGCCCTGAAATGTATACACCTTGCCTTTTCTGCTTCGTGGCAGAACATGAAAATTAAGCCCAAACATGTTCTCTCTCTATTTACAGGTTTCAACCCTTTCTGGCACCAGGCTCCATGCCAGGGACTCGAGTACCTTGTAACAAACTGCCAGAGAACACCAAGATGATAATGGAGAACCATACTTATCCCACACGCAGAATGCCATGATTTGGACTTCAGGTGGGGAAACTTTTACATGTAATAACAAAAGGAACAGTTTTTATTTATTTGTAACTGTTTTTTACAGGTATTTATTGTGTAGGTATGTCCAATGAATAAACCCCTCTTGTAACCCCTGCTGACTCTACGCCTGCAATAAGCTTGTCTGACACTGGAGGGAAAACAAAGAGGAACAGAACACAGCAAAATTATAAAAAAAACCTCAACAATTGACAGAACAGAAATAACCTTACCATTTTCTGTACATATATGAAGTCTTTGCTGTAGGTGGACAATGCCTCTTTGAACAGCCTCCTTTCTTGATGTGTCCATTTGTCAGAACCTTAAAAAAAAAAATTAATTCATTATAAATGGTAAAAACTCCCCACCTTTATGTTGATGTAGCATCTGAAACAAAAACTGGGAAGCCTCAAGCAAATGCTACTCATAGCTGCTACCCAAATACAAGTATGGGTGTACTGACTCAGACCTCCAGTCCATCTAACCAGTATTCAGTCTCCTGCAGTAGTCACAGACGGTTGCCTAGGAAACAGTAAGATCAGGGCAAGCAAACACAACTCCTCTCCCTAATTTTTCTTAACCTCTGACCACTTTTGGTGCAGGGGATTTCCTGAGTCTAGTTTTTGCTTATTTAGTAACTACCCTTTTAAGTGCTGAGCCACTCTTCCTTTCAACTGATTAAAATTCTTGCACCCAAAACATCCTTTGCTGAGGAGTTTCACAGATATGTGGACCATCTGCATAAAGAGCCATCTCCTCTTTCTTTGTTTCCTGGCTCCCAGTAGCTTCACTGCATGACTCTTTGGTCTTCAGGAGGAGGATAAAATGAACCCAAACTCAACCATCATCTCCATGCTATTCAAGACTGCATGCTCTTTCTGTCACTCCCAAACCTTTGATCATTACTGGTGACCCTCTTTGAACCTTTCCAGTATTAAAACATTCCTTAAAGAGATGACAGTACCAGAAAGGCACACAGAAGTCCACATATGAGCAACCCACCAATTGTTACAGTGGAACCCTGTTCTCTATTCTCTTAATGTTTGACCCTTTTTTTAGATTTTGTAAAATACAGAGCTGATACTTTCTTAGAACTAGGATTATAATCCCACGCTGTCATTCTACTTGAGAAGTATCACCAGAGAACTCCTAATTTCCTGTGTAAAACTTGTATTACTTATTCCCATATATGCCACTTTACATTTGACTACACAGAAGTTCATCTATCGTTTTGTTCTCCAGACAATAACTCTTTCAAGATCCTTTTGCAACTCTTCACTTGCATGGCTTGAGGTAAGACACCTAAAACATGTGTGACGGTATGCAGAGATTGTAGCAATGTGCAATACGCAAAAAGTATTTCCTGATCATTTAATGGAAGCTGTATATAAAATTTCTAAATATTGTTATTCTGCGTTTGCTCCACCAGCCTAACTGCCCATGAAAATGTGAAATCCACATTTAAATTGAAATGAATTTATGCTTCCTCAGTATTAGTTAAACAGAAGGAATGCAGGATTGCTCTACTGCATCAAAGTGGTGTTCTGTTTGTTAAGAGTGGGCAGCATTACATATATTAAAGGAAGGATATGCAAGAAGCCATAATGTGGATGCCTTTGAAATTACTTACACTATGAGAAGACTCTACTTTAGCCTGAGAGTTTCTGAAACATCTATAACTAAAAATCCCTAATACTCCTGTCAACGTTACCATTCTCCATAGAAATGTTTGCCTCTGCACTGATTTCAATTAACTTGGACTTGACACCACACATGGTATTGAACTCTACAGGTTACTTATATCTATTAAAAATATATAGATTTTATTAACTACAAATGTTTTGCTTTTCAGCATCAGTTCCCAAGCTTAAAAGTTCAGAGCAGGTATCTCACTGCTCCTTTATATGCTGAAAACTACAAAATTAACTTTTCTGCAGCCTGTTTTCTTTAGGCTTTTTCAGTACTGGATATAAGCATGCATTAGTTATTTCCACAGAGATTTACACTTAAAGCTCTCTTAAGCATCAGAGAAAGGCACTGGCTTCAAGCCACAAGTTTAACTTATTCTATTATCATCCAAAGATCTTTCTGCTGACACACTGCCTTTCCATCCTTCCCACCCTGAACCAGTGTCATTCCTTTCTTACACAACTCGTCAGTCGTTTGCATTTACCCTCCCTTCGGGCAGGGGTAAATGCACTGATTCAGTCCAGGGGGCTACTCTATTATGCCAAAACGTAATTTTAGAAAGGGTAACACCACCAAAGGAGGATTTTAATTTTTTGTAGTGATGCTGCTCTCCTGCCTCTACCCCACCTTCCTAAAAAAACAGCACAATAAAAATAATAACATAGAATCACTTCCATGATCTAATTTTATTGGACACCTATGGAGGATTTGGGCCTTACAAACTTTCCCCAATAGCTGTGGTATTAGCAGAGACCCTTACAAGATTATGCAGGTTAATTGGAAGTAACCTAATTAATAGAATAAATCCTGTGTAGGAAAAGAAACAGAAGAAAAGCTGTTTTTAACTCTGGTTGCTGGGAAACCACTTTTGCTCTTGTTAGCTTGAGGGAGATATAAAGAACATGCATAGAGAGAGATCTGCAATGCAGCAAAAAAGAATTTTGGGCTTCAGAAAACAGATAAAATTTTTAAGCTGATCTTTATGTTTAGACATTTATTCTGTATTTTCTGTTACTTGCCATATTGGTTTTGCACTGATTAATTGGCAATAAATATTTTCTACTAATCTGTACCCTTTGGGCCCAACTTGTGGGTTTCAAGGGGGCCACACCTACACCTAGGCAGCCCCGCTAAGAGGTGGCTCAAATCCACTACATCCAGCATATGCTGGGTCTGATCCACACCCTACTGCAGTACCTACAAAAAGCTTCCAGACTGCTTGAAGTGCCTTATTTCAGAGACCATCTCTCCTGCAGTTCTCACTGCAGAGCTTCAGACCTGAGAAATTCCACTGTTCAGATGAGAACAATTCAAGTGTTTGCAACGGTGATTAGAAACACATTCTCTCTCTCTTCCCTAAAACACCATCCTGACAGATGGTCAAGTGTTAGGATGGAGAGATTAGGGTGTTCATCCAAGCAGCCCTGGGTCAGCATAGCCAGCTCTCTGGGCACACAACAGAAAATCCTCAAGTTTTACAGCTTGCTTTCCTCACAAGTCAACAGGTTCCCAAGGTGAGCTATTTGTTTGTACCCTCATTTGAGGGCAATACTAGGGATGAGTTCAGATATTTACTGTTTGTGGTATCAATAATTCTCATGAGTCAGTGCCATGCTCTGTTTCAGTATATTCCACCTTTAAATGTGGTAGGCCCAAGATCTGTGATTTCTGAGTATGGAGCAGAAAACGTAAGTCAACCCAAACAAATATCACTTGAAGTTACATTAAAGCTATTCATGCACTAGATTGTGAGAAAATTCCCAAATGCCTCGAGTGGCTGATTACCGGCAAATAAACTATTATTCAAGAGCTGCTGCATGGTGCTTGAGTGATGCTGTCATATAAGTTGCAATTACATGCAAGAGCATTAGAAAGTAATGCTCTGTCTTGTTATTTTATGGTTCTTAAATCCAGACTGGTGACATTTTGTTTCATGCTGTGGGAAGTACAATCGAACTTTCTTTCCTGCTTAAGAAATGGTGATATGCTGGTGTCCACAGGTTTCAGTGCTAGTTAACAAGGATTAGTAACATCTCATGTTAAAGATTTAAAAAATCAAGCCTCTCCTGGCTCCTCCCCGAATCCCAGTAAAACACTTTCTGAAACTACTGTGAAGTTGTTTCAGTAAAGGCTGTTGCTCCTGTGCCACACAGGCAGAAATTTCTTATCTGCTTTGCTAATTAGATTGTTCACTGAGGAAGAGGTTGCTGGGATATCTCCTCATCTTCCTGCTCTCATGCTCTGAACTGACTCACACGTATGATTTAGTATCATCTCTTCAGTCAAGACATCCTGGTCAAAGTTCCTGGTTGATGTTCTCCATCCACCCACATGTCCACCCTTTTGACTGCAACAGAGCTGTTATCAAAGGCACTGGGCATCTCTCTCAGACAAAACTCTAAACCTGGTGTTCACATTTACTCATTATCATTATGAGCTGCCATCAGACATGTTCCTGTTCTTGTTCTCAGGACAGGGGGTAAGGATTTGCTTTAAAAAAGATCTCCTGTTACTTGAGAGCCTTTCCTGTGGGCTGCTACAGCCAGGAAGTAGGTTGTTTCTATAATTATGTCGCACAATGACTGTAACTGGAAATGAGTATATGAACTTGACACTGTGATTGACTGACCACCAGAAGACAAACCAGAAGGTTTGTTTCCCATTGAGCCTAAACTGGAGATCATAGAATCATAGAACCAGCCGGATTGGAAAAGACCTCTGAGATCATCAAGTTGAACCCCTGATACACTACACTACCACTGAGGTTTACTAGACTATGGCACTCAGTGCCACATCCAGTCTCATCTTCAAAACCTCCAGAGAAAGAGAATCCACCACTTCCCCAGGCAGCCCATTCCAATGCCTGATTACCCTCTCTGTAAACAATTTCTTCCTAATATTCAGCCTAAACCTCCCCAGGCAGAACTTAAGACCATGCCCTCTTGTCTTACTGACAGTTGCCTGGGAGAAGAGACCAACCCCCACCTGGCTACAACCTCCTTTCAGGAAGTTGTAGAGAGTGATGAGGTCTCCCCTGAAGAAGTCTTTACTGTCTTAGGTAAAACCCTATTCTGTGTTTAAGCAATGGTTAGTCACTTCAAAGCATTAGGGGGTAACAGAGAGGGCTACAGAGGAGAGACATTTGCCATCTGTGTTCAGGTGACATGACTCAAGTCGCATGGCTTAACATCACGTGTATTTCACAGGGGGCACTTCTGCTTCATCACCCCAATGCAGCTCTTGCTATGTCTGTGAAAGAAGTCACCAACCTGGACTTATTTTGATTAGACCCACACAAAGAGAGGCTCTGTAAACAGCACTAAGACAGTAGTACGAGTTACACCACTGCCTCTTTGCAAGGATGCTCGTGATTATCATATTCATTGATTGTGCACCATCACCTCAGAGAAGGCAGGCAGATGATGGAAGATGTTTACATTCCAAACAATTTAGACCTTACTGATAGTAAATTACAAATTACAAATAGCAGCAGTTTTAAAACAAGATCACATGTCAGTTTAAGAGAAAAAGAATCACTTGAGGCAGTTTTAAATCCATAGAATTTTACACAGTAACACAGATGCAAATTTTCCGCGTATTTTCAGTCATGTAAAAAACTGCTAAACTTGTAACAAAAGGCTCTGGAAAAGCCCCTCGACACTGTCCACATCACCTCTCCATGAGATGCTGCCATCCCTGCAGCAGACAGCAGAGAGTGCAGTGTGATCCCATGCTCCAGCCTGGGGTGCCAGGCTTGGACTCTATATACCAGTAGACAGAGAGATCACAAGGAAACCTACCAGCGTAGTGGTAATTTGCCAAAGGATGACACTTCAATCTCACTGGCTTTAGCAACAGCAGCTTTTCAAGAGTAACCTAAATGAAAAAGCAAGGAGAAACAGAATTAGCAAATGCAATCAGCTGCTGCATAAAACTGCATTTAGAAGACTATTTTGTACGAGGATACGAATTAATTTTCTCTCTTTTCTCTTTTCTGTCATACAAAATCACATCAAATTACTCAAGGCCCATTAACACTGTACCTCACAAAAGAGCACCTAATGCACACCTGCCCTGCCTTAATTAGCAGAAAACTGGCTACTGCTTACCAACTTCCAGCTCCTCCCTGTCTTCTACGTGCCACATACAAATAGTTTATTGTGTTTGACTTGATAATGTTAATTGACACTAATATTTAATGGCTGGTTTGACAGCATTAATATAGCATGAAGTCTTTTAGAATACCTGTTTAGGTCAACATCCATCAGGAATGACAGCAAGTATAGCCAATCCTCCTTCAGAGCAGAAAAACAGATGATTTGTGGATCTCTAAAATTTTTCCCCTGACAATTCAAACTCCCTGTAAAGCAAATTCCATATCCTGACAGTAAGTTCAGTCACCTGACTCAGACCGCTCAGATACAGCTAACAGAGCCTAAGGAAACTGGGACACAAGCTAAAACTCACTGTATTAGACAATACTGTGAGATCATTCCAGCCCTGTGTTCTGCTGCATTTTGTTTTAAATTGGCTTTCCAGGAATCGGTGCAAGGGCCTTGTCTTTCTCAACATTGGGCAAAATGGATGTTTTGCCCTAGTTAATAACATTCCCATCACTAAACTAATGCAAATATTTGAAATGCATTATTTATATAAGAACTGTGTGCAATTACCTCACAGTTCTGAACAAATAAGTAGATGTGACTGCTGCTACAAAAAAGGGTTTTTATAAGGGCTAGAGGAGGACTAAGCTCTCTGTGACCAAGTATAAAGCCTGTGAAATATCAGGGCTGGAACAAGCGCTGGGAGGCATTCAAAGCTCCAAGGCTATAAACTAAGTAATCTTATCTATATGAAATATACAGTAAGCCTTCAGAGAGGCACTGCTTTGAAATTTAAATTTATTAGAGAATAAAGTGAAAAGTCATTCCCCAAAAATGTTACAGGATGTTTAAAGCATCACTGCAAATCAATCAGAAATCTTTTTTTATACAACCATATCTAAATCCATTTAATAAAGCATGCTAATTTATCTGCAGAAGAGGATCATATCTCCCCTTTCAGCTTCTTATCTTACCATAATATCTCCTTTCGCTTCAAAGAGAGAGTGCAAAGCGTATTCTGAGTTAGTTCCTCCACCAGGTAACACACTGGAACAGCTCATATTTAAAAGGTCTTCCACTGTCAGAAATAAGTCAACATTTTACTGCTGATACAGTAGCCTATCAGTCAAACATCCAGAGCCAAAGATTCTGTTATGCCATTCAAAGACAACGCAGTTCAGGGCAGCAGCTTCTTCCATACTCTCTCTCCCCAGCATCTCATCTTGTTTTAGGATAAATCACTGAGGAGAGGATGTAATGCGATTTGCAGAGCGCATCCTTGGGATGGGACAAACTACTACAGAGCCAGAGATCTGCCTGTGACACACTGACTTGCACATGCCAGTGATGTTGCTGTGCCAACAAGGCTCCAGCCAGGGCAGAGAAACAGAAATTAACTGTGCTGGAAGCAAGAAAAAACTGTTCAGGACAGGTAGAATCCACCAACCCTGTCACATTTCCTCTCAACTATGGTCACAGGACAGGCCCAGGGGCCATCAGCTGCCTCTGATCTGTGACCTCTGCCCTTACCAGGCAGTTCAGTACCCAACTTTCCAGCAATGATCTTTCCCCCTTGGCTGCCAGAAAGCAGTTCATTCAGACTTCACTTTAAATGCCACTGTATAACGCTATTACTCTGAAGCTGTAACATGTAGTTCTGGTCTCTTCCTCTGCATTCTCAGTAATTAATATCCTCCTGAACGTTTTGTACAATCACATATGAGAAATCGATGTGTATTTCTTCAACAGGCACAGGCTGACATAGGAACTTCTAAACCGGCAAATTATCATACCTCTTTGTTGGAAGACTTTGTTCTCCAGTTCTGGCCACGGTTTCCAGACCAAAGTAGCCTTGTGCACGTCTTTCTCCATTAGCAATCTGTCCTGCAGCTCAGGAATATCAGCCTGGAACCTGGACCCGATATTGATTCGCCTGTAAAGATGAATAAATACATAAATATTCAACCACACGAGGTGCAGAAAAAACAGAATTCACACTGGTGTTCACTTTATTTCCAACAAAACTTTTATTGCACTCAAGTGGCAGGAAATTGTGTCAGATTGCTTTACACAATGCTTTACTCCCAGTGGAGTAAGTATTTTGAATACCAGAGAGAACTGATCTCTTGGGGGAAAACAAAAATTTCAATATGCAATTTAAACTATACTGAGACATCATACCTTAGGGACAACCCAAGCTATCTTATATGCATGATTAGCAAAGAGGCTAGATGTCAGAAACAGCAACGTTCTGTTCCATAGAGAATGGTACTCTTCAGCAGAGAGCAGAAAGAGCCATTACTACTGAGGGACAATCCTGTTTGCAGTTTGCCTGGGGAACCTACCATGTAACACCTCTCTAAAGTTCCACCATAGATACAAAAATACATGTTAAAAACTCAGAGTACTGGATCAGCACATTTTCCTCACAGCCCTCTTCCCAGCCATCACTGTTGTTTCATTTACAATGGCTGCCACCAAGCCTCTCCTAGCATTTTTGAGCCATGACACCTAATTCTCCCACAGCCACTTCACTCCAAATGTCCTCAGCCACTATCCACAGAAAACTTCAATGCCTCCAGCCCAACACTGATTTCAGGCAGTTGAACACTACCTGCCCAGCTCAAAACACTTCAGGCCACGTCCTTTAGGTTGGAGATAGTCTATAAGAGCAGTGACAAAAAATATTGTTTTTCTTACGGTTCAACAGTCTGTTCTCCATGCCCAGGCGTCACTGGAATGACACTTCCATCAATACTATCTGAAACAGAGATTGGAGTTTGAGTATTGCTGTAGATGCACCACCTCCAGGGCTGCACTGACACCTCCCTATTAACATTACTCCAGTTTATGATGCAAAAATGACCCTTTAGTGATATTTAGACAGAAACTGTCTAAATTGTTCTAGGTAACAGAAATGTCCAAACTTGCAGAGGTTTCTACTGCCCTGATCATGGCTGATTAGACACCTTTTCTTGTGAAGCACTGAATAAATACTTAAGGTAAACCCCATGCCTCAAACCAAGTCTTTTCCTCCACTTCAGAAGGCCCAGATGTAATGAGACGCATGGTGGTCCTTTCTCGAGGCAGACCACACGGAAAGATCACAGCCTTACTCACTGATTAGGCTCCTCTACTCATTTTATGCCTCAACAGTGCCTCTGGCAAAACTGGACTTTTCCTGTGATTTAGCAGAAGTGGCCATGCTTGTGAGCACACATAAAAATCATCCATGTGGTAACAAAGGAAGACAGGACAGTGGCATTTCCTTTGTACTGCCGCTCTGTAAATGTAATACTTACTAGATCGACACAGGAGCACCCGCGGAGTAGGTGTCAGTGGAGTAAGTGGCAGCTGAGTATGTGAGGTGCTATGAGATGAAGTGATAACACTGCTGAAGAGACCAGACCCTTGCCGAACTGGACTAAGCATCGGTGGCGGAGTGTAGGGGGGGAGCTCATGTGTCCGGTCTAGCAGATGATCTCCCAGAACACGGGGAGAGCGAAGCTGACTCTGGTACAGAGTGGCACCGGAGTGGGACATGCTGAGGTTGAAAGAAGGAGGAGGTATGAAGAGAGGTTCCGGTCTGTGCCGATACTTCTTCTTATCCTGCAATGGTTTGAAGTTTTCTTCCAATTTTACAGCACTTGGATGAGGTTTTTTGCTAGTTTCCTAAATGAAAACATGTAAAACCTTAGTATTTAGGCATGCTTAAATGTGGTTTGCACACAATCCCCTACAGATCTGGGCAATGGCCACGGAAGAGCTGTAACCAGCACGCAGTTATTCAGGCACCACCATAATAACCCTTGCCAGTACAGTATCTGTAGATATCTATACAGAAACCTCAGGGGAGTGAGAAAAACCAGGACAAATTAACCTTCACCTCCGTCAGAGAGCCCTCTGGGTCAAGGCAGGGCTGAGCCACAGTGACAGACATAGAGAGGCTGCTGCCAGCTTTTGAAAGTGCTGGGAACGTCTCTCCCAGACCACAAGTCTCCCACACCCTTCTTCAACTCCACCCAGGCACCCTGGGCACTTCTATTTGCACTGAGCACACACACAGGCTGTTGGGAGATACCTCATGTGAGTCACAGTTTATTAGAAACTTTATATGAGAGCTTTTTCAATGCATGCATTTAGTTTGACCAGGAAGGACACATGAGCTCAGTGAAATTACTGCAGTACTCAGCAGCAGGAAAGGAAGAAAAATGTAATAAATTCAAATTCTTTGCCTCTTATCACTACATTCCCATCGGCTTGATTACAGTCCAGCTGCAACAAATCTTGAACTTAACTCTCTCCTTTTTCCTTGGAGAAAAAAAAGGGTAGGAGATGACCATTTGGGAAATTCACACACTGTAACATGCCCGGACTTCTAGAATTTGAATGTTAAAAATCATTTAATAACATTTACAGTACACAGAAGCAGAAGGCACAGAATTTGTGCAAACCTGAAATCTGGATTTCTGTGGGGTGGGGGTGAGGTGGGAAGAAAGAGGTTCTCAGCTCTAAGAACATGGTAGATGAACACAGAATTAAATGTATCGCTTTTAGGTGTTCAGACTCTAAGTCATCTTTAGGATAAATCTGGGAAGCAGAAGAAAATTTTTGACTGATGGGGTTACTCCAGAATGTCTGCATCATCTGGTAAATTCGACTACTGCATGAAGCAAATTACTACAATGTATGTTTTAACGACATACATCTTTACACCATGGGTGGTTCTTCTGAATCACATTCACCCAATAAAAATCATGTTATACAAGCATTAGCACTGTCACCCTTTATCCCTTATGTTAATAAGTTCCAGCTTGAGGAAATGTTTTTGATTACAGAGGTCCTGTCCTCTCTGTTAGATCATGGCTGTATCCTCTCCAACAGCTGTTGACATTTTTTCTCTGTAATTGTAAATGTAAAAAATTAAGTTTTGGAAGAGTTTTGCTTTTGCATGGAAGAAAATGCAGCTTTACAGAGAATTTTTTTGATAACAGACAGTGAAAGTTACCTGCAAGGAGAGATATAGTCCATCAAGATGGTGAATATTTAGTGTTCAAAAAGAGAAAAGGGGAAAAAATCCAAACAACCCAAAACCTAATAAAGAGACCCAGAGAGCCAAATCCAAGTCTTTGATTCAGGGCTCATTTGGTACTCCTTTCTCACTAGGGTAAATCAAACCAGCCAACCAAGACATCATCTTAGAAGTCTTAAACACCTCCATTGCCTCCACTGCTTCACCTACAGTATACCTTAACCTCAGTGGGGCTATGCCACCACTGCTTTCAGAAAAGATCACACTGAACAGTGAAGGAGACAGTGGCGTCCACGGGCTCTTGATTAAGAATCACCCCGATACTTTTCTGAAGCTCGAGGAACTGCTTCGTATTATCCAAGACAGAATGCATCCTTGTGGGTCCTGCTGCCAACACCTTGATAGATCCACTCTGGGTAGATCTTGGTGGACCCCCATTCACTGCTAGTTTCAGCTCACCATCCTATAGCCTTGCTGAATATTTAGTTCCTTTCTGCTGTTTGATTTTATTGACTCCATGAACTTTGTGGGAGCTTTTTTGGACAGTTCAAAGCACAGTATAAATAAATGCAAGACAGCTTCAGTTCTTTGCTATTAGAAAAAAAACCCCTCTCCAATGGCACAAAATCTTTTTACAGAAGAAGAGGGAAACTTTTGATCTTTTGATCTTTCAATGTTTCCAATGCTACTACTTATATAAAAGATAGGGTCCAGAGAGGAAACTGCATGAGTTTCGTTTGCTTGGGCAATAACAAAGATCACAAGGATCATTTTGAGGGAATGAATGCGCATTTAGCCAAACACTGGCAGATTTAATCACAGTCACTTTACATACACTGCAGAAATACACAAGCCCAAGCCACCTACTCTGCTGTCTCTAGAGAAGATCTCCCACTCAGAGCTCAAGGATTCAGAAAAAACTGTCCCTATTCTTTAGAGGAACCAGAAATAGAAATGAAAAATTGTACTGCTGAGTTACTAAGTATTGTGAAATGCTGGCTTTCCCAGTGAAGTAGAAGTTTGTGTTTAAAACCTCTGTCTGAAAGGAAGAGAGAAAAGATTTTATATACATTTAAAAGTAGTGTGAATGTCTGAGTGAAAGGTTGTGGGGGAGTGATAAATAAAAATAAGTATTTTAAGGAGTCACCTATGATGGTATATGCTGTCCCCTTGTTTGGTCATCAGCCTCGTATGGAGCAGGAAAAGAAAAAATATCACACGAGTATTTCTCTGTATGGTACAGATAATACCATACAGTACTTATACTCTCCAATAATCCCTTATATCATGTCTGCCAACATGGATTTGAAGGAACAAGCAGAATCTATTCCTACACTGGAACATGAAATAAATACTGCTTTCTCCAGGACTCTTTCAGGAAAACAATAAAGAGCATTTTCACATCTCATTCAAGTACCCATCAATTCCTTGAGCTGCCTGACAATTTCAGTTTTATGAGCGAAATATAAGCACTAAGCATAGCTATTTTTTCTGTATCAGAACTCCCAGTGATTAACCCTTAGAGCTGATGCATGCAGAGAGAAAGGGAAAAACTACTTCACTGCAAAACTCCAAGTCCACAAGCTTCATATTGGCTTAGAGCACCCACTCTTAAGCACTGCACTATCTTCAGCTGAAATGAGCAGCACACATATCTGACTTTAGAGAACAGGAGGAAATAAAACTGCTGAATTTAAGCAATAACATAACAATGAAGCAGTCTGAAAAGGAAAAAACAAAACCAGTAAAAAAGATAGTAAATCCCTTTGTTCTAGTGGGATAAAATCGAATTACTTATTTTCAACTGAGATCTCGATTCCTCAGCAAAGGGAAAATAAGTATTTCCAAATGACGGAGGAAGAAATGCCGTGATGCTACAAGACTTTTTTTTGTTCATTAGGAATCATAAAGATTCCAGAAAATATTTTAAAACATGTATGTTTTAGAAAATAGCAGCACTACAAGCAAAGGGATTTAACAAGCACAGGACAGTTAGTGGCAAGAAACACAGCACTCACAGAGGATGAGCAGGGGTTGGCCACTTTTGGACTGCATGGTGGAGAGTAAGTCATCTTCACGAGAACGGGCATCTCGTCATCTGACACAGAGTTGGCAGGCTTGTCTGTGACTGTGGCAGCGCTGGCAGAGGGCTGCGTGCTGGGCTCAGGTGACAGAAGCTTTACAGGGACAGACACTGGCATGACGATGGGTGCGAGGCTTTCCACCTCTTTAGGCAGCGGCTGCTGTGGTGGTTTCTCTCCTTCATCCTGTACAGACAATTAAAGGCTTTCAGCCCGAGTGAGGGAGTGCTGCTTCTGGATTGATACACTACCCAATGTATGCACCGTGGCTGGAAAGAAGTGGCCAGGGTTACAAAACACACACCAGCATTCCTTCTTGGGACTCTTTATTTGCCTTCAACGAAGTTGACAGCTTTGGTGACAAATAATCACCTGAAACATCTTTACAAGGTAACTTGCAGGAGGGCAGATAAACACATCTCTTTTTATCACTACAAACACAGAATTCTCCATTACCCACCTAAAAGCAAAGACACAAACTGTGTAACTTTGGTAGATTTTTGCCTTCCTATGGTGTTCCTTGTTAGGACAGAATTTCTAAAGTATCAGGATAGAGAACGACTAACTGACAGGGCAAATTATTTTTATGCGGAATAACTCAAACACATTTTTGGTTTGGCATTTGTTGATACCCACAGAACTAAAACACTTTGGAAAAAAGCTGTCAAAGATTCAAAAATTCTGCTCCTTCAGTTAAAGCCTGGGAAGGCTTCCAATAAATATCCCTTAGTCATCCAAGTAGTTCAAATAAAAATAAGGAAGACTTGATGTTCCTGGTATTTCTAATATAATAAACAAACATGAGGGGGAAAAAAATTATACACTCCTGACATGACTTTGTAGGGTGTTTCTGTAATGTGCTGAGAAACAGAGAAGGACAAACACTGATCTGTCCCCCACCACTGCCTCTGAGTTTAAAACAAGACTTCTGGCCTACAAACTAACAGAATTATGTGCATTTCTACTTACACGGGGTATGACATAACAAAACAGCGCTGAGAAGAACAAGTTTTGACAGCAAAGCAAAGCATGGCAAAGCAAGCAAACACAAAAGGAGAGCGCCAAATACTGACGTAAAATGGAATGATACCTGTTTGAAGTTAGGAGATGCTCTTACTCCTCCGTGTGACCTCATGTGACCATTTAGAGCAGGCAAACTCTTAAACTCCTTCAAGCATATTGAACACATTAGCTTGTTCTTCACATCAGCTCTCTCAGGAAATGTTTCTCTGTTCTGGCCACTATATTTGTTTTCATTTTTTTCAAGCATGGAGCAGAAGAGAAAAAATTAGTTTGGCATGTTTCCTTTGTTGCAGAGGAAGCTTTTTTAGTCAAGGAACTTAGTAAAATTTTACAGCTAGATGGTTATGAAGTCATAGTTAAGCATGTGGTGACTGCTGTGGAATACGTGGCAAATAACCTAGATGAGCTGCTCCCAAGATGGGGAGAAGGGAAGTTTTGAGTAGGACATGCTCATCAAAATGTGGGGTCTCAATACAGAAAAGTCTGAGAACCCATGAGATGTATCATGATAGGCCTACATTTCCCCCCTCATGACACCAATTAACAAGTACTTGGATGTAATGCCTCTAACTTATTGTCAACCTCAACCTTCAGAGGTGAGACCTTAAGAAAAAAGAGGATCTCTGCTGCCAAAAGTTACAAATCCTAACCACACACCATTCTTTCATTTATAAATGCAACACAGAGTGAACTGCTCCCCTGCTTTTGGTTTTAATTTGGTTCCCTTCCCACCCACCCCTTTTTTTTTTTTTAAAGACAAAGCATTTATTTGATTTTATTGTGGAGGGGGAATGCTGGAAATCACACAAACTTAAAGTCACAAACCACAAAACTAAAGATGTTTCTAGAAGAGCAACAAATATTACCTACCCAGACTGCATTCTTTTCCCTCTAAACTGCAGAACTTTGCATTTCTCATATTTAAATTAAAAAGACACAAAAAAATCTTAAAAATACCTTTGTTCTGGGGACAGCTGCTGCAGTCTGCCTTCTGACAGATGCACCTGCTATCAAACGAGGAGAAAGGAAAAGAAGGGAAAAAGGAGAAAATAATTTTTCAGGAAATATTAATGCGTAAATGAAGACCCTTACAGCATAAAGTTTGCATTTTGTGTATGATTTTACTGATATTAAAAGCCTCTGAACTGACAGCCTGACATCAAATCAGTGCCCCTGTGAGCATAGCTAGTTCAAGTTTTCTTCCATTCACCTGTTGTTTGAAGCCTTTGTTCTGACCCAGAAGCACTACTTTAGGAAACAAGTAGCTGACTAAGTGCTCCTGAACAACTGAGCTTGCAGGTGTTGAAAAAATCAGCAAGAATGCTTCGTTGTCACTGGGTCCCTCCTCCCCAGAAACCAAGGCAGACCTTCCCAAAGCCTCTCAGAAGGAAGGCAGCAGCGCCACAGCAGTAGTTCTGTGCTGCTGCCAGCCTGGCCCAAAGCCAACCCAGAGATATAGACAGAAGCTTGTTAATGCAATTCCCCAAAACATCCCAGAGATGCCCACCACTCACATCCTAACCTTCTGACTCTCCTGAAGAGAGTTTAATTTCCACACCTTGCTACTCTTCTGCAAACAAGTTTGGCTGAGCATGGATCTAAAATACTACTTACCTGAGGCCATGTGGCAGTGGGAGAGTCTTGCTGAGAGCTTTTGTTGTTCAGATGAACTCCCGAGGGTGGCAAAAGTGTTCGATGAGGGATGGCATTACCTACAGAATTTACCTCCTGCCGTGCAGGATCCTCTGTGGTCTCTGGTGGAGTGAGGCCAACATGGGAGTTCAGAGATGGCACTCTGCTCTTGCTCTGGTATTGCTTCTGCTGATCTTGCTGCTGCTGCAGTAAACTCTGTGGGTACAAGTGCCTGTACTGTTCATGGGGATCTTGGAAGCAATACTGAGGCACTGCTCCCAACTGGATAAGCTGTACAGGATGACTGGGATCCTGAGAGTACTGGTGTGGTTCATGCATAGTCTTTGGATCGGGTTCCCTGTGATACGGAGGAAGTGGCAATTGCATCTGCTGCTGCTGTTGCTGTAACTGCTGCATGACAGGTTGTGTTTGGTAATACTGAGCGATCTGCACTGGACACTGCCGCTGCTGCCGAGCTGGCTGCTGCTGCTGCATCTCCTGCATCGAGAGCCGCTGGTGCCCCTGCTGTGGCTGAGCGTAGTACTGAGGCTGCTGCAGGTGCTGCATCTGCTGCGGTAAGAGCTGCTGGGACTGCATCTGCGGAACGTGCGTCTGTCCCTGCTGGAACGCAGAATGCATCTGCATTTGTGATAAGTGCTGCTGGTAGTCGTAGTACAACTGTTGATGCTGCATGACTTGCATTTGTTGCTTTTGCTGTGTGCTTGCAAAATTCTGTTGTGTTTGCTGTGGCACTGGTTGATATCTTTGTACAGTGGAAGTTACAGGCTGTTGCTCAACTGCTGGCTTCTGGGACAGCAGCTGCCTGAGCGCACTGTCACCAGAATTATCCACCATCGGAGACTCGGTGTGCAAAACCTGAGCCATGTTGTTGACTTGAATTCTTAGATTTTGGTTAGCAAATACTTGTGTAAAGGAGTCCAATTTATGCAGGACCCCACTGGTAATTTTTTGCGACCGGTTTTCACTGGGTTGAGAGTAAGAGTATTGGTATCCATCATGGGAGTCCCCCTGCCCGAGGGGGCTCCACACTGCGCTTTGATTATTCAAACTGTTCCTTGCTGGGACATGGTTTCCTGAGCCAGAATGTGTCCAGCTGGTTTGTCTAGATGTATGCATTGAACCAAGGCTTTTTGAACCTACAGGCAAAGCTATACTGTCCCTTGAATCTTGGGGAAACTGAGGGGAGAGGGGGGATGCCTGGGGAGCATCCATAACAGACGTCCCATAGCTATGATTTAGAGAGGAAAGGGAGTTCATTTGGTGTTGTTCGTAGTACAAGTTCTCATTGTTGTTGGCAGTATGGTTGGTTTTATACAATTGCTGGTCCCCCATTTTTGGTCACTTCTGTTCCAAACTTACAGGCACGCAAACCATTGAAATCTCTATGAACCCTGAGATAGCTGAGTGAGGGGAAGGGAGGGGAGGGGAGAACAAGCTAGAATTACTTATAATTCAGCATGTCCATGTGCATCACAAGGACTAAAATCTCCTCCAGTCTGTCAGTAATTCCAATCTCAGACTCGACGTTGCTTCACATCTTCAATAAATGGACCACAGCACAAATCCTACACAGATCAGTAAGTTCAGTGTACCAAGCACCTGTGGAGTAAGTGAAAGACAAGGTAAATGCTGGATCTCTGCATAAACTGTTATTGTTATTGCCTCAGAGGAAACTCTAAAATCTTCTAGTTTGAAATCCTTAATCAGATGCAAAATTGTAACAGCTGGGCTGTTTCAGAGCAGTTAAGATTTCTTCATCTCATCCCATTATCTGGCCTCTTCCCTAGTGCTCCGATAAAATCATTCTGCCAAACCAATAAAAGCTTATTCTTCAAAACTGTCTTTTCCCCTAAAGTATCTGAACATTCAAGCATTTTAAGCTGGCCACATCCTGCACTCTCATGACTAATTTTAGTCAGACAGTTGACTATCAAACCAAGTCACAGACTCACAGAATGGCTGGGGTTGGAAGAGACCTCTGTAGATCACTGGTTCAATGCCCTGCTGAAGCAGGTTCACCTGTGCATATCTCCAGAGGAGGAGACTCCACAACCTCTCTGTGCAGCCCCTTCCAGTGCTCGGACACCCTCCAAGTAAAGATGGATGTATCACACTAAGATGGAACTTCTGGTGTTGCCATTTGTGCCCTCTGTCCCTTGTTGTCGCTGGCCACCACTGAAAAGAGTCTGGTTCCATCCCCTTGATACCTGCGCTTAAGATATTTGCATACATTGATAATATCCCCTCTCTGTTTTCTCCAGGCTAAGCAGACTGGAGCTAAACAGCCTCTCCTCATAAGAGATGCTCCAGTCCCTAATCATCTTCATAGCCCTCTGCTGAACCCTCTCCAGCAGTTGTCTTTTCTGAACTGAAGAGCCCAGATCTGGACACAGCACTTCATTTGAGACCTTGGTAGGGCTGAGCAGAGGGACAGAATCACCCCCCTCAACCTGCTGTCAGTGCTTTTCCTAATACCCCCCAGGATACCATTGGCCTTCTTGTCCACAGGGGCACACTGTTGGCTCAGGGACAGCTTGCTGCCCACCAGGACTCTGAGGTCCTTCTCCACAGAGTTGCTTTCCATCAGGCTGGCCCCCACCTGGTACCAATACATAGGATTATTCCTCCCCAGGTGCAGGACCCTACACTTGCCGTCACTGAACTTCATTAATGTCCTCTCCACCCAATTCTCCAGCCTGTCCAGGTCTGGCTGAATGGCAGCACAGGCTTCTGGCATATCAGACACTCCTCCCAGTTTTGTATCATCATGTTGAGAGTACGTTCTGTCCCTTCATCCAGGTCACTGATGAGTAAGCTGAACAAGACTGGACCCAGTACTGAGCCCCAGTGAACACCATTAGGAATAGGCCTCCAACCAGACTGCATCACTGATCACAGCTCTGGGATTGGCCATTCAGCCAGTTCTCAATCTACCCCACTGTCCACTCATCTAACCCACACTTCCTGAGCTTGCCTATGAGGATGTTATGAGAGACAGTGCCAAATGCCTTGCTGAAGTCTGGGTAGGCAACATCCACTGCTCTTCCCTCATCCATCCACAGCCAGACATTCCATCACAGGAGGCTATCAGATTGGTCATGTGGTATTTCCCCTTGGTGAATCCATGCTGACTATTAATAATAAGAAGAATAATCATCATCATCATCTTTTCCTAAACATCCTTAGAGGTAACAGCCAGGATAAGCTGTTTCATCATCTGTCCAGGGATAGAGGTGAGGCTAAATGGCCTGTAGTATATATGCTAAGACCAAACCAATCAATGGGAATCATTTCACTCACCTTACACTGGGAGTGCTGAACTCCCAGCTTCTGTTCTACCCTTTCACATGCAACCTTTTATAATTTTTACTGTATAAACTGTAACTCAAAGTAACATTTTACAGACATCCGTTTTCGATTAATAAAAAATATATAAGCACATTATAGGGCTGTTGGACTATTCCACAGTAAGATGCAATCACTGTGTCTGCAATTACACATATGCACAGAGGTACAATATGCTTATGCACTCATAAATATGTTACAGCTGATTCTGAAGTTTAACAAGAGCATAAAAATATTAGACCAAAATCTTAACTCTGCCTCCCTCATATCTGATTTTCTACACGTAATGCTCTCCACCAAAGACTCCTGCATACTGATGTCCTTATCTTTTTAAACTTAGGAGAATCCATGATTTAGATGGATAAATGGGAAGTCACCGATGAAGAAAATTTTAACCATTGCCAGACGCATATTAAGGAAAGTTTGTGCTAGCAACAGCAAACAAGGGTAATGCATAGCTGCAGGCAGAAAAAAAAACCTTTTCTGTTCTAGCATAATGTATGACAGAAAACCATAGCTCCCAATGAAGAGGGTTTGCAGTGTGTGCAGTTTGTATAAACCATCTGCAACCATTACTAAGTAACATTTCCATGAGACAAATAATAGCTGAGATTAATTGCACATTTATTTCCCCTTTCCAGAAATATACATTGCTTCACAGTTTCTCTGAACACACTCCCTTCCAGATTTTTATAGATGAACAATTGAAGAAGATAGGAGTCAACAATGAATAGCCAGGCTGCCAACAGGATTTTTCATCCACAACACAACTTCAAAGACTTCCTATGAAAAATTATGAAGGGAAACTAAACAAACCTTCCACAAAACATTAAAAAGGCATAAAAATAAACACTGTGTGATATTTCACACTGAAAGGCCATCAATGTTTAGAGGAAGAGGGGGAATATGCTATTTTTTTTATGCCTGCCAAGTTAAGAAAGCTCCATTGAAATGGTCTGAACATATCTTCTCATAAAAACAGGGTACTACTGGATCTATACGTAGTACACCTTTTGTACTATTTTGTACTATCTTTTGTCCCATTTCAGTAATTAACAGATCTGTAATTTACACCAAGTTCCTTGGTTCTGACCATTCTTCTTAAAGTTTAAAGTTACAAGTATTAGTCAAAGGACAAGAAATAACAGTGATACAAACCAGTGAGGGAAAATAAATGTCTCCAGGAGACAATTAAAAGACCACAAGAATTCCAAGACTAAGGACAGTAAGAGACTTAAGAATAAGGGAGCAAACAACAAGATTTTGGTACAAAAATTAATCAAGTGGCCAACCAGACCCCTGGCCCCTTCTCCTCCCACAGGCAGGAGCACCATGATGGCAGATGCTACCGACTGTACCAGCAGCCACAGCCAGTGCTGCAATCATGGCAGAAAATGCCGTTCCTTGGGCACCCACCAAATTCCACTTACTGCACCCTTTCACCTGGGGGTTACCTGTCACAGTTCTGAGGATACTGGAAAGCAGTCAAGAGGTTTCATATCTGATTCGTTAGTACAAACACCATTCCTCACTCAGAATCAAAAGAAAAAAAAATGCTGACAGAAATTTCCTCTCCAGCAGCTCTGCCATCTTCAACTCAGCTCTAGCATAGGAGTTGGGACATACTGCTGTGTGCTAGGTGGATTACAGTTATACATCACAGTTATACAGAAACATTTGTAAAATCAGGAAAAAAATGGAATATTACATTAAAATACCAATCAAATCACAAAAAGACTGGGAAGTTTAGTCATTGTGAGAACCACATTTGAAAAAATTCACATTGTCTTCAAACACCCATTCTCCCCCCACTTAAAAAAAAAAAAACAAAAACATTTCTTTCAAATGCATCACTCATCTGGAAGGAGAAAATGCAAAGGTTTAAAAAGCATTGTTATTCTACATTCAGGTAACAGGAAAAAAAAACATACAAGCATGTTGATAGAAGCATAATCAGTAATAAACCAGTCCCTCAGATACCAAGTATTTTTTTAGTACTCGAACAGGCTTGATGTTTTATACAGTGAGCATTTGCTACTGGCTTTAACAAAATGCTAACAATACACATTTCTTCTTGGATTACAACCCATGAGAGTATATCAGTGCTGCATGCAACATCTTTAAGGCTTTAGGGGCACTAAAAGTCTCTGGCCAACTGAGAAGCCATTGGCAGCACTCTGAATGACTTCTATTTCTTTCACTGACAGGAAAAAAAGGGTGCTTTCTCTCCTTTTTGTTTAGCATTGGTGCCTAAACACCCATCACTGACATTTATCACAACAACTCTCTCTACTAAATGGTTAAATCAAACAACTAAAAGCAGCAGGAGTTTTACAGAAACAATGGTTCTGCAGTTCTGTGTTTCTTCTCTTCCCAACAGTCATTTATGCTATTTAACCTACTACATTTCTGACATTACAGATACATCCCAATTATGCAATCATTACAAAGAAAGATGAAAACAAATGCAAATGGACAGAAACATTTCTGTAGACTGCCCAGAAATACCCTACTTAAGTTTATGGATGAAATTTGGACTCAAGCTAATGGGAATTCAATTGATTTCAACAGAGACAAGGTTTTGCTCCAACTCTTTTCTCATCATTTCAGCAAGGTCCCCTGCAAACTTGCACAGCTCCAGCCTCCAGACTAAAGGCCACGGACACGCCAAGATGGCTGTGCCAAGATGGCTGAAATGTCTTTACACACTCCAGCTTCAAACACAAGCAGCTAAAAGGCAATATAATTACTCCTGGAAGTATGTCATAACTTAATTCTGGTAAACATGAAATGGAAGAAAATTCCAACATTATAAGTCTTCAATAAAGGTGATTGTATTTTTCTCCTTTGTAAACTGTTATCACTGGATAGCCAGAAGAAGCTGTGGAGTTTACAGCACAGGATGGACATGGACTATTGGAGTGAGTCCAGAGAAGGTGATGACAGAGATGGAGCACCTCTCCTGTGAGGAAAGGTTAAGAGAACTAGGATTGTTCAGTCTAGAAAAGAGAAGGCTTCTGGATGACATAGCTGTGGCTTTCCAGTACCTGAAGAGAGCCTATGGAGACAGACTATTTACAAGAGTTTGCAGAGATAGGACAAAAGGGAATGGTTTTAAACTGAGGGAGAGCAGGTTTAGATTACATATGAAGAAAAACTTCTTTGCCGTGAGGGTGGTGAGACACTGGAACCGGCTGCCCAGAGAATTTGTGGATGCCCTATTCCCAAAAGTGTTTAAGGCCCTGCTGGATGGAGCTCTGAGCAACCTGGTCTAGTGAAGGGTGTCCTATCCATGGCAGAGTCATTGGAACTAGATGATCTTAAAGTGCCTTCCAACCTAGGCCATTCTATGAACTTAGAGAAGATAACAGGCAGTGAAACACTCCCAGCTCCATCACACACCACAGAAGCCAAGACCTGTAGAATTTTTCAAATTGAGTAAATAACAGATCAAACCACAGTCACGCAATTGAACTGCCTAAATTCACATGAATTTCAGAACAAGGCATCCATTCCAAATAAGTGCATGCATGAAAGTTGGGCTGGGTGTGGGCTGCAAAACCAGCGAGAGTCAGTTTCAGAACTAAGTTAATGGAGAGGGATGACAAAAGACTGTACAAGAGCAGATGCTGAAGGAAGCAGACTCATTAAAAGGCTGTGAAGTTATTATAGCAACTGCACTGATCTAACCAATCTCGGTAGGTTGCATGGCTGTATTTCAAAAGGGAAATGGATCCTACAGTTTGTCTAACTTATTTCAAGTTTTTCAGCTGTTCCTTTAAGCAAAACATATACATGCTTTTGTAGATTAATTACTAGTTAGCCTGAAAAAAAAAAAAGACTGTATAAGCTGGCAGATGCCAAAAAACCCAAAAGAAAACACCCCACCACGTTCAACCAGCTTCTTCAGGATAGAGTACCTGCACATACTCACAAGCAACAGCATCAAGCATATGCTCATGTGCTGGGGCACCATCCCTTCTTGTGTCCCTCCCTCCCTCTGGGACGGTAACACGTCAGCTAAAGCAAGCTTAACCACTACTCTTAGCAGCCTTAGCAGTTTTGTAACACTTAAGGCATGCCTGCCCCAGAAATGTGTCATTGCTGTGTGTTCTCCCAACACTGCAGACATGTTTCCATCGTGCCTTACCACCCCTCAGTTGCACAGGCTGAGACAGGGTTTTCTCAAGTTGCTGTCTTTCTGCTATTAGAATATATGCTTTATTCTTAACTGCACATAAGATAAAATCCAAAATCAAGTTGTCCCTTCCCTTCTTTTGCTTCAATGCTCCCCCCTGCCATTAGCTTCAACAGACACAAACCAGGCCTTATCTTATTCAATTTTTAGCCTTTTTTATGAGAATGTCTTTATTGACCTGTTTTGTTATTCAGAACTGTCAGATCTCCTGCCAAGCTATTCCTAAATGAAGACAGCCATCATTCACATCATCTTGCTCTCTGATTTCCTTTAAGATAGACACAGGGATAAACAGCAGTTCCTTCCCTGCTCCATTCTGCTAAATACCAGTGCTACCAGCAGCCCCTGCCACACAGGCTGGGGCCATAACCCAGCAATTTAAGGGACTGCACAGATAGCCCTGGTTTTGAGCTGGGCATTATGAACCCACACTGAAGAACAGCTAAAAAGCAGCACAGTGCTCAAACGGAATTAATAATTTCGAACACCAAGCAAGGTGGTTGGGTGAACCAGCAGTGAGGAAAGGTGAGACGGTAATTCAAAGATATACTCTTTTTTTTAAATATCTATAGAAACCCCAAAGACATCTGATATAGCAATAAAGAGAGGCAGAGACCGAAAATAAGGGTCAAAAGGTATCAGGATCGTGGCTATTTTAGGTAAAATAAACACTGAAGTAGCAATATGGATTTCAAGGGCCAATAATTTTCTATAGCTGTCTCAAGGACAAATGCTTACATCAGGACAAATGCTTTCATCCCAATCCTGGATACAACTGCTTCTATGGTTTCTACTGCACTTCAATTTTGGCTGGTTTTGGATGGCAGAGATCTCAAACTCATGCCCATATCTGTCTACAAATCCCAGGGTTGGCATTTTTAGGCAAAACCAGCCCCAACAAAACCCTCACTTCAGTATATGAGAAAGTATGGAAATGAAGGCATTACAAAAGTGAAGAGGATTGAAAAAAAAGCAAAATATTTAGTAGACTGATTTTTATATCAAGCATAGTAAGAAAGCTATACACTCTTAAAATGGAAAGGGAAAAACAGATTAGTTGCTTTTTAATATTAATGCCGGTAATTCTTCAACAGTTGCACAAATCCTTCAAGAATTATCATTCCCTTTGCAGCTGAGCTTCTTCTGCAGTGCAGTTGGAAAGGCTGCTGCGTCTCATGTGGCTGCTCATTTAAGCTGTTCCCATTTCCACTCTTAAGAGAGACTAGAATGTCCTAATTCAGTTTAATAAAGAACACATTGGACTTGGGGGAGGGGAGAACAACGATGGCATTGGGAGAGGAACCAAGCAATTTCTCTACTTCAATGAAGTTTTAAAAAAGGCAACAACAACAACAAAAAAAACCAGCAGCAAAAACAACAGTTGATCATCTCAGGAAAGTGTCTAGAAAAGGGGGAGGAGAAAGGAAGACAAACAAGAAGAAACATTTTCCTCTCTTTTTGATCTAAGTTGTAAGTAGAAAATGCATTCTGAGGCAGTGGTAATTTAATGAAAATCTTTTTTTCCCCCAAACTAACAGAATTCTGGTTATTCAAGAAGAGGAGGTTGATTTCTAAATAAAGCCATTAACTGAATTTAGTTTAAGGGAGATACAATTTCATGAGTCCCAAAGAAACAAAGAAGGTTGCTTCAACAAATCTGATTATCTTTGCTGTCAGTGAATTGGTGTTACAGTTTCAAGGTATTCTGAAGGCTTCAGAGAACTGCAACTGAAGCAGGTATCACATTACTTCATAAAAAATGGCAAATGTAAAATTATGTGATCTCCTCACAATACTGACTAAAAATAAAAATAAAAGACAAGCCTTGACTAAGGCCAACAGGGCACTTGAATTGCATATTCCATGGCTAACTGACTAAAAGCATACCAAAGACAGCACTAACTAAAGTGATAAACACAGTAGTTTTTTTTTTTTTTTAATATTCACCAATACATTACTGCATATTTGATCAAGGCTGAAGCTGTCTGTGAAACTTTATCTGAAATCTCTTCAGCCAGCCTGGGTTTACTGACTGCTTAGATGACATAAATCGTAGTCCCTTCTGCTGAGGGCAATACTCTCAAACGCTTCCTGGAAAATAAATATGTCCTATTAGCAAAATTGCCCTCCGCTTCATATTTTAGTTTTCTTCTATTACTGAACTGAATGACTTTTTACTCCCCAACAAGATCCTAGTTCTGCAGACATGAAAAGCCACGGGTATGAAAGTCTTAGAGAGAAAGGTTAGATCTTGCTCACTTACTCTAAGTGGCTACATTTTGGGAGCGATTTTTAAGCCTTCTCACTCAAACATCAATGCATCAGCTATTGCTGTTACCACAGCCAGGATAAGCACACACAATTTTAGTTCAAGGTGAGCACCTTGTAACGCACTTAACCAGTTTCTTCCTGACCTCTGCAGTGTTTACACCCTGTAGCGTGTAATGTGACTGCCTTCTTCTGTAATTGTAAATGCTCTGAAACAGTCGAAGAGCATATGCCAGGATTTACAAAAACAGGCAAGGAAGAAACATTCTGAGACAGATAAATAATTAAAAAAAACAAGCAGAAGTAGTAGTATGTGGAAAACAGCATATGGCTAAGCTCTCAGTGGGGATGGAACAGCTATTTTGAGCCTGGTGTCTCTCCCAAAAGAGTTTTCAGAAATGCAGCTGCAGGACCCTCTGAAAAGTCCATCCCTCTAAATTACACCATGCTGGTATCTAGCACTGGAACCAGGTCAAATGGTTATGCAGAACTGACCACCATGGCTGCTGCTTTTATTTTTTTTTCAAATTAAGGTAATGTCCTTTTGCTTGTATGAGACAACACAGCTAAAGTAGTCTTTAAGAAAGATATAAACACATGTCTATCTCCTGTGTCATACATACTGTGAAATAATATTTTACAAGATACACAGCCAATGCACAACTAATCATATTTGAGAAGCCCATCAATAAATTCAGAGACTCAGATGCCCAAATTCTGGAAAACAGTCAAATATTAGACAAGCCAGCCTTAGAGAAACTGGACATATGATGCTGTGACATTACCTGATTTTTGAGCATTTGTGAGATTCTTGGATCTTGTTGTGCTGCCTTTGCCATAACATTTCATGCTGCTTTCATTCTGTGATCTCAGAGTGATATATCTAAACAAAGGAAAAGAATGCAAAAATTAGTTTTTCCCCAGAGGTGACTCTTCTAATTAGCAGCTTGGCCCAAAGCACGAGCAGACCTGTGAGCTACAACAAAATACTAACTTCTATTCAAAAGATTATCAACAGGTTGCTCTCTCCTTTAAGTCACTATTGCAAAGGACATCTACCAGGATTCATCTCCTTTAAAGAACCACCAAGAACCCCTTTCCCATACCGACAGTGAAAGAGACTGCTTCACTGTCAAACCTCTGGGACAGATACATCCACAGTCCTTCAAATTACAGACTGAAATGCAAGAAAATGGATCTTTACTTTTTACTCAGCTTGGAACCTACTGCAAAATGAGGAATGGGTTATGTTGATGCAATAAATAAAACAACATCTTGCCTCTACTGCAGAGACCATAAAGATTTCACAGCATCCCAGGCTGCTTTGACAGAACCCAGTGACTTCTCTCATGGAGAGATTTGCTGGCCCAGAGCTTGCAACCTACATAATGAGTATCACACAAACAAGAGAAGGTACAGAAATCAGGAAGGGAGGGATTAATGAAAGTCAAAGACGCAGGAGATAACAATCAGGCTGTCACCCAGTGCAGAAGAGATATCTAGACAAGGCATCTTAAATTATTTAAATGAAAACAACACATTTGTTTTTGTAAATGCTGCTGCCTGGATGGCTTTTAGGAAAGGCCCTCAGCACCTGAGGGTATTAAGAAGGCTGGCTGACATCACTGTGAGGCCTCTCACAACCTTAGAGAAGTCATGGAGATTATGGGACATCCCAGAAGGCTGGAAGGCAGCTAACGTCACTCCCATCTACAAGAAGGGCTTAAAGGAGGATCCGAGAAATTACAGGCCCATCAGCCATACTTCAGTCCCTGGGAAAGTTACAGAACGAATCCTGCAGGGGGTTATCAAATGAAATGAAACACATGATTGGGAGAAGCCGGTGTGGATTCACCAAGGGCAAATTGTGCTTGACAAACTTGATCACCTTCTACAACAAAGTTGTTGATGTGAGGCAAGCAGTGGACACTGCCAACCTGGATTTCTCCCACACTTTTATATAGTTTCCCACAGCCTCCTTCTAGAGAAACTGCTGTGTTACAGTCTGGACAAGTGGTCCTTGTGTCAGTGGGAAACTGGTTGACCGGTGGCACCCAGAGAGTGGTGGTAAACAGCTCCTTTTCCAAATGGCAACCTGGCACAAGGGAGGTCCCCCAGGGACCAATACTGAGCCCATCGCTGTTTAATACCTTCACAAGTGATCTGGAAGATGGCATAAGTGTACCCTGATAAAGTTCTCTGATGATACCAAACTAAGCAGGGAAGCACACGCTTTTGAGAGACACTCTGCAGGAAGACCTAGGTAGGCTAGAAGAGTGGGCTAACAAGAACCTTACAGAGGTCTTACAAAGAAAGGTCTTATGGATTGTACCAGATGATCCTTTAGGTTCCTTCCAACCTGGTATTCTGCAATTCTGTAAAACAAGCCTGGAAGCTTAGAGTGCAATTCACAGCTCCATGATATCAATGGAAAACTCTTCATTCACACTGAACCCTGCTGGTTTTGGAAAATCATTCCAGGCTTAAGAACAAAAATGTAGGAATGATCACAGATAACCCCAGTGAGGTCACTTAGCATTTACTTCCTCTCACCTTCATGCTAGAGTCACTTGCTTAAATTATTCTTTTAAAATCTCTGATAGTATTCCCAAGCAGTGACACTATTACATACAAAAAGAAGCCGCCCCCAAGTCCAGCACAGTCCAGGTGCCCCCCCTTAGTCAACCAACAACACAAACCCAAGCCCACAGAAAAGAGACAGGTCCACCACACAGTCCAGACACCAACCCATCAAAACATGCACCATGAGAGACACCAAAGCCCCTTACAAAGCCTGACCTGCCTAAAACATACTTCTTCAACAGAAAACCTGAGCTGATGGCAAATGCTGGTAACATCGCCCAGGGATATATGGAGTTTCTTGGATCTAAGTTTTTGCTTACAACATTATCGTATTGAGCCCCAGTAACTAAAATCTGTGCACATCCACATCCTGCTGCAAACATGAGTTGAAATGCTACAAATATCCCCAAAGGCAAACCTGCTTGCATCCCACCTGCTTACAACTTTCCTAAGCAAATCCACAAATTTACCTCTGTCAAAATAAGACAAGTTCTAATAAATCCACGTGTACACAGTGCAATACCTGACTTGGTTTTTATACTGGTAATTAACACCTCTAACAGGCATACTAAATGTTCTAAACAATAGGCGAAGGTGTACCATTTCTGTTTGTAAGAGGAAATACTCAGACACATACAGAGAACCTGAGGTTAACACCAGTGGAGCCAAGTGACAAAATGCTGGGGGGGGGGGTTGTCCCAGTTTAACACAACTGTTTAGAACTTGCCAATATGTTTAAATTTAATCTTTAAAAACTAACTGCTATAGCCTGGGATGGGGCAATCCCAGATGTACATACAGACTGGGGAACAAGATGCTGGAAAGCAGTGCCATGGAAAGGGACCTGGGGGTGCCGGTCGATGGTAAATTGGAGTGAGCAGTGCTCTGGGAGCCAGGAGGGCCAACCCTGTCCTGGGGGGCATCAGGCAAAGCATCGCCAGCCAGTCAAGGACTGTCCCACTCAGCTCTGCACTGGGAGGCCTCACCTTGAATATTGTGTGCAGTTTTGGGCACTGCAGTATAAGAAGGATATTAAGCTCTTAGAGAGGGTCCAAAGGAGGGCAACAAAGATGGTGAAGGGCCTTGAGGGGAAGCCACATGAGGAGCAGCTGAGGACGCTTGGTCTGTTCAGCCCGGAGGAGACCTCACTGCAGTTACAACTTCCTTGTGAGGGGAAGACGAGGGGCAGACACTGATCTCATCTTTGTGGTAACCAGTGACAGAACCCAGAGCAACGGCCTGAAGTTGTGCTGAGGGGGTTTAGACTGGATATTAGAAAAAGGTTCTTCACAGGTGGTTGGGCACTGAAACGGGGAAATGGTCACAGCACCAAGCCTGCCAGAGTTCAAGAAGCATTTGGATGAAACCCTTGGGTACACGGTGTGATTCTTGGGGATAGTCCTGCGCAGGGCCACGAGTTGGACTCCATCATCCTTGTGGGTCCCTTCCAACTTAGCATATTCTGTGTTATCGTGAGCTGTGACCAAAGTCACAGTATATAGCTTTGCTTTCTTTTTCAATTATCCATCTGCTCTGAACAACAAATGCTTGTATTAAGCCTAAAAATGCCAAAATATTCTGCAGACAAACCATCCCTGGTAGCTTCCTGCAAGAGGCCAGGGCAATGGATGCCAGGAAAAACAACAGGAATGCCCAGGAAAACCCTTTCCTGTTTTTCTTATTTGTTTTTGCTGCCTTTCCCACTATACTACCTTCATCATTGGAGCTACAATAACACCCATATGCAGGTGTACACGAATTATCAGATATGTGCAAAGCTCTCATACATAATACGACTGTTAAAAAATAAAACTTTGGGCACTTTGGAGCCAGAGGTAGTGAACTGATGGCTGATAAATACTGAAAACAGTCTCAACATAATTAATTCAGGACCAAACACTACAGAAGTACATAAAATTCACAAATGAGGTTTTAATTCTTTTCATTAAATTTTAATCAGCATCTCATTTTTTGAAGTTTAGATTAAAAAGCAATCTAATTTTATATTCCTTTGCCATATTCTTCAGTTTTGCTCCCATCCCAGCCCCTGGATTTTGCATACAACCAAAGCACAGTAAGGAAAAGCTAAGAAGTGGAGCCTACAGCAACATTTAAAAATTAAGACCTAAGTCAGAGATCACCTATCCCATACGCACAATATAAATTTTCAGTCCTCTCTCTTCATTAGGATTGATGACGCTGCTGGAAAATAAGGAGCACATAATACCTTTTATGGGAAAGTAAAGCACAGATGAATTAACAGAGAGAGAATGCAGCTAAATCAATTTCTCATCTCAAGATAGTAATGGAGGCAATTTCTTGAACTTTACTATGCTTGTAACATATTGATCAGCAAAGCTTCACACTGAAAGTTAAACTAGGTATTTTCCCAGGGACAAAATGGAGGATGGCAGTAGAACTAGGCAACACACCAAAGACAGGGATTTTCTCCAGTCATGTTACACTTTAGAAAAATCAAAGTTTCCACTTACTTGCATGTTAACGCAAAACATGAGAAGATGATTTCTGTATTAAGGCTGAATTAGTCCTGTATGAGCCCTAACAAAGTAAATTTAGTGACAGGATAAGGGGGAATGGTTTCAAACTGAAAGAGAATAGGTTTAGATTAGATGCTAGGAAGAAATTCTCTCCTGTGAGGATAGTGAGGCCCTGGAATGGGTTACCCAGGGAAGCTGTGGATGCCTTACTCCTGAAAGTGTTCAAGACCAGGCTGGATGGAGCTCTGAGCAACCTGGTCTAATGAAAGATGTCCCTTCCCATGGCAGGGGTTGGAACTAGATGATTTTAAGGTCCCTTCCAAACCAAACCATTCTATGAGTCTGTGATTCTATGATTTACTTTCACATTACGAACTTTTATATCGTTCTACATTAAGAACTTAAGTGAAGTGTTGAATTGGTAACTCAGACTTCCTGCAGATCATCAGAGCAACCAAAATGGAATTCTGGGAAAATACCGGGGGGGGGAGGGGGAAGTCATTTGGGATTTCTCCCCTCCTTCCTAATAGTCGTGTGTCTAACCATTCACAAACACCAACTCATAAACTTCCCATGAAATCAATACACCTCAGCTACTTCAAATCACTGAAAGACAAGTTTTCTTTACTGTATTTGTCATTTTTTCTATTACAAGAGTGACCAAGAACATCCTGTTATCTAAACTGGTTGGTCATGATTAAACAGCATTTAATTATTTTTGGGAGCAGGAGAGGAGAAAGTAAGCCCCCTTAAGATAAGAAACATTAAGAACAACCAGGTACATACATTAAACAAGCAATAC